GGATATAAATGCTGCCTATCATACAATTCTGGGAGGTCCTCGCGTACTTTCGGGCGAGATGAAATTGATCAATCCAAAGGTCACGCAAGTCGGTATAACACAACTTAAATTTCCTATGAAAGTGTTTTTGTTCATATAAAAAGCACGTGACTGACGCGTCTCATTCAAATGCGCGCGCCAACCTGACATATGATCGATCTGAAGGCGAGACGCCAAGATCTCGAGGTTCATAACATTCCGTTATCCAGTGGCTATCGAATTGCCAGACTGCTCTACTGCAGGCAGAAGAGTGCGAAATACTGTTTTCCGACAATCGTCCGTGGCGATGGCTCCATCTGTATTAGCAACATAGAATATGCTTCATATCGACTAGAGTGCTGATTGGGGGCGGTTAAGAACAGTAGCACAGATGATATTATTTGAGACTTACCAGTGAACCAAGTCCGTAAGCTGGCTTTCGTAGACTCATCGCACCCGTCCATCACGTAATAGAATGACTTGAAAGCTTCTCCGTGTCTGCCAGCCAGCAAGAGTGCACGACACTGTTGCTCATTCGCGGTTTCCCACAAGGACTTTAGATCCCACCCGAAGAGCTGCAAACAACGAAGTTGAGGATGAAAGTGATTCTCGGTTAAATTGTATTAACACACCTCGATAAATACCTCGTATTTGGTATGAATTGGTAATCCAAAAAAGAAAGAGCTAGCGTTGACGGCGGTAGTGAAGTGGTCAACAGCACTAGCTATATCGCGTGCGTGAAAATCGGTAATTTTGCTATCTCGCAAAGCAATCCTGCCCAGTTCGACATGTAGATATGCCTGATGTGCGGAGCACAGAAAGATAGTGTCAGTAGCCGAGCCTGGTACTGATTGAGGTACAATACTCACTTCAACAATACGAGAAGGAATAGGATCATTATGGGGAGTAGAAGATAGCTCCCCGATGCGTTGTACCGCTTGATCGTGTTCATCTGCATTGAATAGCGCAATGACCTGAAAGATGTAAGGAAGCGTAGATTGTGTAAGAAGGATGTGACCTGCTTTGATCAAAAAGAGTAGGTGATTCAAAGATGAATCTTTCTTCGTAAACGTAAACGCAGTATCAAACGCTGTGGTTGCCTCCTGAAACTGCCTTTTCCCGCAGAGGGCAATGCCCTTGGAGATATAGCCTGTCAACGAGGGCTTGATGATGATAGACTAAGTCATGATCAAGTTAGCCTACTTGAGGGTCATCATGGGTGAGTGTATCTCACCTGATTTGCATCACGAAGCGCGGATTCCCAATCAAGTTGTCGCGACATGACAAAAGAACGATTGGCATAGGGTATGTGCTTGATAGGATCATCATCGATCTCTTGTGTGAGGAGCTGCTCAGCGGCAAGCAATTTCCCCTCGAGACATGCACCACGAACTGCCGTGTGTATAGTGAGAATCTACGCGATCACGATACACACTCAAATTTTGTTACACGAGCCAAGGGTGAACACGTACGTTTAGTTCATAGTCTCGAGCCTTGGAAAAGATGTGAGATGAAATAGCGGGGGACAGGTAAATAAACATGAACTTACCTGCTGTAGCTCCTGTTCGTCTCCCGGCAAAGCGTCCCGAGGTACTGCCCACTCTGAGATCTTAGCATCGTCGCCCCCACTGAGGACGTGCATGCTATCGAGGGTGAAGGTGACACAAAGTACTCTGTCAGAGTGCTTGAATATGGCAATAGTCTGCTGATCCAAAAGCTTCCAAAGGCGGACGTCTTTGTCAACAGATGAAGAGGCGACAAGAGTGCCAGTGGTGTCAATGGCAATGTCGCTGATGCGGGCAGTGTGCCCCTTCCAGGGATCGCCAACTTGTTGCCAGGTGTGTGCATCCCACTCCAATATATTGGGATCAAGGTCTGAGCCTGCTGAGAGAAGGCGTCTCCCATCTGGCGTCCATTGGAGTGTGCTGTTGAGGGCACCTTCCACTGCTGCGTGAGCCCTAAAAGCTACGACGCATTGCTTCGTGCTGGGATTCCATATCTGGATATTATTCTTTGTTGCGATGGCAAGATGTTCGCCGGACGGCGAATAGCGAATCCAGTATATAACTGATTTGGTGGATGGAGCCACAGAGTAAGTGATCGGGTATCCCAGAGGTTGCCAATTTTCTATCCTCCAGAGCTCCGTCGTTTCATTATATGAACCAGTTGCCAGTATTGTGTTGTCTGGAGAAGAATCCAAACTGAGCAAAGCCATCGAGTGAGCGTTCAAGGTCCGGCTACGAGTTCCATCGTCTCCGTGCCAGATGATCAACTCTCCATTAATGCAGCTACTCGCGATGAATTGGCCATCTCGTGATACTGCCAGCCCCCCCACTCTGCCGGTATGCCCCTCCAACTTCTTCAACAAAACGCCTTCTGTCAAGTCCCACAAACGAAGCATCTTGTCATACGAGCCCGTCACCATACGTCGTCCATCCGGGAAGACTGCGACTGCGACTACCACGTCTTCATGGTCTTTGAACGTCCGAACGAGGGAGTTATTTTTTCTGGTCCGTCTGGTACTAGTAACAAGCCGCCCTGCCCGTGCCATTTTACTGGAGGTTAATGGTGTCAAGTACTGCAGTTGAAGTGGACTTGCTGAGGAAATATACAAGGATAAGAAGGGATAGCCCAATTTTTTTCCACCGACCCTGCGTCCTCAATGCAGACTCCGCAGTTCTGCCGGTTCCCATGCCCTTGAAAGTCAGTCAAGCCAGGTCAGCACCTAGTTAGGTACCTGTCGTGAGTTGGTTGACAGTGGGTCTTGAGTCTGCCGTGAGGTATGCTCGAGTACGCAAGTGCGAGTTAAGCTTGGTGTCGTGTACCACCAGGTGGCACAACATTGAGCAAGCATAGGAGACAACACCAACGATTCTCCTCCAACGTCGTCATCATCGGTGCATCGAAGTGGAAAGGCGTAGTAGATCCTGAGAAGACAATAAACTGCATTTTCTTTTTTAAAAAAGGTAGTAGCATGTGGTTCGTGATCGAGAGCCCGGTAGTACCCCAGAACACGAATGACTGTAACCAACGTGCTAGCTGTGAAACAAACCAAGTGCATTTAGCATCAATTCTACCCCCGGTAGTGGTACATTATGTTACTGAGTTTACTTGAGAGCGATATCCCAACAGCACTTGAAGTTGAAGACAAAAAGTGTCCGGATTTCAATATCTAAGGAGGTATTCTGGGTATAACTCAAGAAAAGAGTTTGGTAACAGTAGCACGCGCCACATGATAGACTTCCTCGACTGCTGCCGTGCTATCGATCTAAACGTCTAGGACTGAGCACAGAGGAAAATAAATATAAACCTTTGCTCACCTCTGCAACCTTGTTCAGTGCCCTGTAATGTTCTATCACGGGCATAGTTTGCTCATTATACGTGCCTGATCTCGTTGTAAGTTGAGGAAAAACAAGAGTAGGTATCACGTACGAAAACGCTTTCTAATAGTTTCGACGTTGTCGTCTTCACGTCCGCTGGTTTTTGCGCGCTCCAGCAGGCGTTGAAGCATCACATCTTCCGATGTGTTGAAGAAGATGACCAATGAAGCGAGACATACCTGGAACCTGAAATCAGTATCGTGGCATGGTGAAGTGAGCAACATTCTGTCGCACCGTTTCATCGAATCCAATAGCCTGATCCAACTTCCGAGGGAAGCCATCGATCAAGAATCGACCCTTGCCATCCACCCACCCATCTCCAGTCTTTTTCTTCATCTCTCCGGCCATAGCATTCTCAAGAAGCTTCATGGTGACATGAGATGGGACGATATTACCCTCCCGAATATATGTTCGGATCATTTCACCATACTGAGATCCTTCTCGGTTTTGTTCTTCGCGTAGAAGGTCTCCAGCTGGGTCCCATATTCGCATCAGTCCTGATAAAGAGGTGACAAGGTCTAACCAGATAGATGGCAAAAGCCAAACGCGTCAACGAGCTTGCTACATTGCGTGCCTTTCCCTATGACGCTTATCAGACCAACGTATGCGCAACGGTTGGTTTCTGAGTGGGAACTTGCCAGCTCCAGGCCCACCCAGGACATAAATGACGGTGACCTTCTGGGCATCAAAAACGGGCGACATCGTGGATTCTGCCATGTTGGATTGATTTGGTTTGAAGTTACTGATCTCGGTGTCGGGGAGGAATAAGAGGGTTGTCGTGTTGTCTAGGCTGCTTCGATGCCGGATAAGCTGTCTCTCGACGTTTGACGATGTAGAAGAAGACGCCGAATGAAGCCAAAGACAAACCGAGAAGGAGAAAAGGATTGGGGCCCTTGCGTGTTGATGGCGGCTCCTTATAACGCATGCCAAATTGACAGGTAGCGCCCCAATTTGAAGCCGTCTTAGAGTTGTTTGCGGAAGTAATGACATTTGATAATCATGCAAATTTTTCACTTGGCCTTGCTTTCCTGCTGCTCTGCACTCATGTCCTCTTGGGATTGGTCCAAAAGATTCTCAGGCGATTTCATCAAAGGAGCATTATGGCATGTTGTAGCCGTCTACGAGGAATTTGTCTGGAAAAATGGTTGATCGTCCAACCATTGGCCCTAGTAATTGAATTCCTCGAGTGCAGTAACACTGGACCATTTACTTGTTCATCAGGAGATAGTGTAGGAGTTCCGATAGGGTTGATATGGTACGAGGTTATGTGCTGCATCCAGCACACGAACCAACGTCTGTCTGGCTGTGCAGTGGACCATGCGAGCTAGCAATCGTTGATGTCCACACTTACTATGGTCTGGTGTCCTCCTGGACCCCTGGTATGCAAGAATACACATGGGAATTTTTGCAACCAGATGAGTGCCCGCTTGTCCTTCAACTGTATTTCACCACCACCCAGCGAGCTTTTCATAGCTGAATTTCACAACTTACCTCAGCTTTACCTTGTAAGTCAAGCTTTGAATCACATCTTACGAGAAAAGGACTGCCCAGATGCATTCTAACCGCCCTCGAACCCTACAATTTATATCACAACCTTCCTGAATGAGTGGCGATCAACGTCAGTATTCCCATATCTTGTTCCTCTTTCGTTCTCTGACCTCATTAACAGCCCTTCCATCGTTTGAAAGAATTTGGGCCAAGCTCTCCCGGGTCGTTGTCAAGGGTGTTGATTCTAACTCCCCTGAATATCAGCCCTATCTGAAATGTTTGCAAGAGACCTGGGTGGACCTTCTCAACCACATCTATACACTATTGGACGTCGGAAAGTCTGTTGTTGCGTTTATTGTATCTGAAAGAATGAAAGGCCTAAAGTGACGGAGGGGACGAATGTCGAAAAGCAGCTCGCAGGAACTTTTCTTTTCTCGCGCAAGCACACCAAACTGGATATTTCTTTGTCACGCTGGTCTACCAGCTTGCTAGCAAATTTCTCAGCATCCGGAAGGATGTGAACAGGACTATCCGCGACAATCCCGCTCTGCTAGACCCAGACACGGCTCTGCGACTAGATGGAGGCTCTTTTTCTCCAATTTCTCTGGAATCTTCGACTCAGATTGCGCGGGTCTCCACCTTTGTCATTTGTTGTCGATGCCCTTGATGAATGCGCATCCGAAACCGAGTTCATTGAACCCTTGCACAGGCTCTTCGGGAGCCTGACCTTCCCGTGACACATTCTGCTCACCAGTCGCTCAGAATTGCATATATTTAGAACCATGCAGAATGAAGAGATGTGCCTATTGGTGTGCGAGATCCCAGTGAATTTTTCTGGGGAGGACATTACTACTATCATCTCGTGGAGAGACTGACTGCAGACGCCCATGGTCAGCATGACAGTCTAATCCTGAGACTTCCTCCCGGCTGATAATAGAAGAATTTCCAAGCACATCGGGAGTAATCAATGAGTGTATCATTGTCCCAGAATCGCCTTTACTTCCAGTAGCTTGTCGAATTTGTTGATGTTCTCGGTGCTCCTGAAATCCGGGTCAGCGCGTCTTCAAATCAGCACGACACGATTTTTATCTTCAATCGGACATGGAGATCGTCCATGCCATGGAATCTCTTATAAATTTCGCAAACCAAGCACACGAACAAAGTCGATCAGCTTCCGGCGCTCTCAAGCACGCCTGCCAAAGCTGGGCCGTCCATCTCTCACGAGCTCCGAAGCCGTGGGATGACAGACTTGATCGTGTATTTCAGGCTTTCTGCAATATTCATCTTCACACTTGGCTCATAAGCCAGCTGGTGGTGTTTGAAGGGTTTGCGGTCTTGCCTCGTTTTATTTGAAGCGTAGGGACTTACAAAGGTGCGTGCATTTCTAACATAGCCTTGCTATCTATTGATGGACGGCCAGGTTAGAGTCGCCGGTGAACATCATACGGCTGAGGCAGCGATAGTTCTGAACCCCTTTCACCTCGATGTCTGTGCGAGCAAAGAGCAGAGCTGTGCAATAAGTGGCATATTCTATTCGCAACGTGAAGCAAGTTCCAGATCGAAATTGTAAATCCATATTCAGAGACTATACAGTGTTGTTGGCCAGTCGCAGCCTGTAACAATTCAGGTTAGTTGAAGTCGGTTTTGGACTCTTTCGGTTGAATACGAAGTGAAGCACGGTATGATTTGCATAGGCCAACAAGGCATGGAACCCTGAGGATAAAAATCAAAAGTCCCGCCGCATATTAAGGAATGTACCATCCGGAGTCCAAGACATATCATCTAGTACTAAAAGTGATCCTGCTAGCCCATCCATACATCCCAGGCCAACTCAACACACTCACCGCGCCGACCAAGCCTCATCCAACCGGTCAAGCACTCCCTGAACCTCACGAACAGCAGCTTTCCGCTCCGCTCGAGCCTCAGGCCAATCCGATCCCGCCAGATGCATAGCATCAAGACGCAACAACGACTGCAGCAAAAGTTCCGATAAACGCGTGTGATCTGATGAAGTGGGTTTCGATGACGTAGGATGAGGAGTGGAGTTAAATGACTGCGTTGGTACACTTCCTGATGCGGGTGTTGGAGCAGACGTGTGGGATGTCACGGTTGTGGCTACAGATGGAGCAAGGGCGCCGACTAACGCGTTAACGTCTGGTACCAGCGTTGTCCGTACACGATCGAGCTCGGTTCGGATAGCAGTGATGGTGCTTTGTTCTGTTGGGGGCTCTTTCACTTTGGTTGTGGTCTGGATGACGGTGCAGGCGTTGACGCTGATGGAAGTGAATGACCGCCGATCAGCGCAATAGTAGAGTTCTCGCGTATTTTATAAGCTGTTACTGAGAAATATTGAGTTGAGGCATCAGGCTGAAAATACAATGGCTCTACATACGTGGCGCGGAATCATCCTTCATCACAGCTCCAGCGTGGATGAGCTTGAAGGATCCGAGAGGGAGGTGGGTATATTCTGCTAGGTCTGCTCTTAGTTTTCCCAGTTTGGTCTCCGGAGGAGGCACTGGAAAATGCAGGGTCTCCCGGTCCCATTTGACATGAATCATGGTAGAGAACGGATGTTTGGACTGGCGAAAAAGTGCACCGCGGGAAAAAGAGTACGCTGCGCGAAGAAACAGCACGAAGCTGAGGATGACTGCGGACTTCTGTGAGTACGATCGGACAACCCGTTACTAGACAAGCAATCACCTTGGTGGAGTGACGACAGCTTGAAAGATTGAACACCTCGGCTCGAGCCGATGATCTAAAACACAAATACTCAAAAGTTCTTGAAAGAGCTAGCGACGTGACACCTTTAGATGCTAACAAGACCAAACAACCGGCTTCATTAATTGCAAGTCAAAACTAAAGCTACATGCCCGCGAAACAACAATATAATGGCCCACTATGGTCTACTGCAATCCCAAGAGAACAAGGAAATAATGGACAATGTCAACATAGCAAAGGAGATTAGGGTATATCAACGACCAGCGTCAATGCGCGAGTGTGAGCGATAATACATGTAAGCAAAGAGAATGTTGGGTAAAGCGATGGCGGTATGCGTCGAGTATCTATGCGGAGAGAAGGTCATGCACAACGAAAAAAAATGCAGATAGGGGTGCATGTCATAACAGCCACTGCGAATGCGCAATACTTGCTTATCGCCCTCCCCGATCCCGCCATTCGATCGCCTTTGCTACCCAACTCACCATATCAACACCTCGATGTCCGTCAGTCTGCATCCATGGGTGTGCAAGCAACTCCTTGTAAGTGGCTCGCTCATCTGCATTCTTGATGAGGCACCGTCGAACCCAGTCACGCGCCTCTGGAGACCATCTTCGCTTCCCCTTGCGCATGAAGCTAGACTGTCCTGGTGATGCGCTATAAGACCCAGTATAAACATCGACTTCTTCGTCTGCGATTTCTTCGTCTTCTGGTAGTCCAGGTGCTTCGCCGTCCACTATGGCACTTAGTTGCGCAAATACATTCTCGTAAGTTTCCGGAGGGTATGGGTATCTATTGATTGGTCAGTTCTATACTAAAAATATAACCAACTAGGGCACACCTTCCTCGTGCAATTTCAACGATCGACAGGCCCAGGGACCATACATCTGCACTGACCGTGTATGAAGTGAAGGCATGTTCCATATTAGATCCAGATGGTGAAGAACCCTTAATTCTCTCGGGCTGCGGAAGCACACGATCAATAGAGTTCAGTGCTAGTCGGAAGTAAGAACCTACAGCCATGTAACTCTGACAACCGACATTCGTCTTCGCGATGCTCTTCTCCAGCTGTCCGCTAACACCGAAATCGCAAAGCTTCACTTCGCCCTTGCAATTCACAAGGACGTTCGTAGGTTTGACATCCCGGTGCATGACCCCAAGTTCAGTTTTGAGGAATTCTAGTCCATGCGTCATGGATGAAGCGATGCGGCAGAGGTGCTCATCGGCAAGTGGTGGAGGGCTAGACGTCCATACAGAGCCCGGACTGGTAGATAAACTTGGCGGTAGAGAAACATTGCCATTCGGAAAGCAACACAAAGAGGCGAGCGAACCACCATCCATGTGCTCCATGCAGTAGTACACGCACGATTCCACGAAGAAGGCACCATAGAAGTCGACAATGTATGAGCTTACGGCGCGGTGTAGGATGTCCAACTCCATTAGTATTCCATTAAGTCTAGTGGAGTCTAACTCGAGACGAATTTCCTGGAAGGAATGTTTAGATAAGGGGATCAAAAACGTGTCAGGGGTTGAACCTTCATAGCCATTTCGACCTTTGTCGGTCGATGGAGAACCTTCTTGACTGTGCCATAGTTACCACGGCCGAGTTCTTGCTCGAGAACGAGCTGATCCATATTTATAGCATAAGATGATCCATTGGAAAAATCGACACCCTCAGCATGGAGAACTGCTTTCCCAGCGAAGTTGAGGCGTCCAGAAGGATCACTAAAAGAGGGAAGAAGTTGGCTTTGATTCGTGATAGCGGGAGAAGAGAGAAAGAGAGATACGCACACGATCTTGTTGAAATTTGAAAAAGGAGTATCAAATGATGAGGGTCCTCTCCTGGCTTCGGCCAGCGATGGACGCCCTGCTCCAAGCCCTGCACCGATGGCACCGCCTCCTGTTTCGGGGTTTATGTCGGATAATTTCAAACCTGGCTTATTGCGTCTGCCCGCAGCAGGAACACCGCCACCACGTCCGCGAGGGCGTGTAGTAGCCGATGACGAGCCTAGCGAAGTAGGATATGGGTGAGAAGATTGAAGAATAGGATGGCTCGATTCGTTTATGGAAGCATGTTGCTGCGCCTGTGCTGCGGGATCAGAGGGGAGAGGAGCCGAACCGGGTGACGCAGTTAATCCGCGATTCAGCATCTGAACAAATAGGTCAGACACAGGAATGAAAATTTTGGGTGAAATCAAAGATGCAAAATAAAATACACACCGCCATCATTTTTGCCTGCAATGAAGGGGGTATTGGGGCATCTCCAGCTTTGTTTGAGAGTAGACCGCTTAAAGTGTTACGGGGAGCACCAGCACCCGAATGGGGTGGGGGACGTGGTGCTGGTCTTTGTGAGGATATAGGAACTGGAACAGGTCTGGTAGCATTATAAGAAGGAACGTTATCCTGAACGGACGCAGAATCTGGCTGCATCGAAAGTCAGTTGTGGTTGTTGAGGTGGAGGGACAGATAATCGAGATTTCCATATATACTCTATCGCTTTCGAGTGAGGTCACGCGTCACACCCTCTCTGTCTACTGCGGTTATAAACAAAACGATGCCATCATACGCATCACTGACCGGCTTTTGCTCTTCTTCGACGTCCAATGTTTATTTCTGATGTTATGCCACTTGGCCTCGTGTCGACACAGCATATGGAACAGCCTCGTATGGTGCACCCAAACCACAGCATCATGTGAACGTATGTGGCAGCCTCTCGCGGATCTTGACCACCAACACGTGTAGACACTCGTCTACTCACCACACCGCAAATCCACTCCTCAGTGTCAACGTTGCCGCTCTGACCGCTTCAACTGCAGTATGTTGGGATGATCATCGCTCCTTTGTAGTTCATGTCCGTAACAGCTCGCGCCGTAACTCCGGTGCTAGCAAGGGGAAATGGAGATGTGATTACTGAGTGGACTTGACGGTAATCACTCCCAACTTCACTAACTAAGCAAGCTTTGATCGGTCTCTGAGAAGGGATACCGAGAGCATATACATATATAGCTCTGAATCTGCTCAATGGTCCAGTTTTCTTCGCATAGCGGTCAATATTGGGAACTGCGACGGCATTGTAACTTTCGGTGCACCTCATTCTACCTTGATGACGTTAAGTAGGTGAAACTGATATCAATCAGCTTCTTTCAGGGGTTCGAGGTGAGTAATCACCCCTGTGAGCAGAGTATAAACTTCCTTCCCAGGGAGGCTGGCATTATTTTTCATCCATGGGGCCACTTTTTGACTACTTGATGACGTCTGCAGAATCGCACTGGTCACCTGCCATCGCCTCTTGCATAACACACCATACCTCTTAACGTCCATATTGTGTAATTTTGATGTAATCTGAAGTCAGCCTGACCAAGTAAAGTTAATGCTGTTTCTCTGTCGCTTTAGAGACCATTAGATGTTGACAGAATGGCATTACCTCCTTGTTGTGGCTCACATCAGCTGTGGAACAAATGCTTTGAACTATAGCTCTTCACGTCCAGACTGTATAATTTGATACATAAGCCGAGGTCCGTCGAAGTAATTAATAATGACCACCATAGTGACAATATCATCTACTCAGGCAGACCATCTCCCCCAAACTTAGACACGCTAGTGTCCATTCGGGTATCAGGAATTCCAAAAATCCTACTGCGCATTATTAACACTCGGCGCGAAACCCACCCGCGCTCCATGGGAATAGTCAAACACCGAATACCCTGGACAACGACAATCCAGTTCAAACTCGTGCAAACAAGACAGTACTCACATGATTTCAGAAACTCATCCCCTGCAGCACACGACATCAACACAGAGTGAACCAGGTACCCAAACAACTTACCGATGATAGCAAATCCTTCCATGAATGCATCGTCCATCCCGACGATTCCACCGATGCAGTTACTGTGCTCGCTCAAGCAGCATGTATTATATGAAGACACATTGACTTACTTTGACCCGTCTCCATCTTGTCCGAGATTGAAGTCCTGCATGTTAAGGCCGAGGTCGTGCCCGCCAAGCAAGAATGAAATCGTGGGGTTCGAGTTGCATGGAAAGGAGAAGAAATTGGAGTCGTAGTTTGCTGCGGGGCCAGCCCCAGGGATCTACGACCCGTCAGCAAGGTTGATGGGAGAAGCAAAGAGCGAAAGACTGACATTGGCGTAGATCGAGGATGCCACCGCCTGCGGGACATATATCAAAGTAGTACCTGTGTCAATTACCTATGCAGAGGAAACGAGGTGGCACTGAGTGGAGATGCGGCTGACAGGTGGAACCTTACCGCATAGAGGTCACCAGTTACGTTTTTCCCTTCAACAACAGCTCCGTTGAATTGTACTGTCCAGTAGGTCTGTCGATAAGAATCAGTTAGACAGGAGGCATAAAGACGTAGAAGGAGCAACCTTGGAAATAACTGGGACCCATGTCAAAGGTCCCACTGCCTTTGACATATCGTAACCTCCCAGGGTTATCTAAAATATCATTTCAATTACGATCATATCAAAGCTAAAGCACAACATACCAATCGACCCAGCTTGCCTTTCCTCTTGTCAAATATACAGAGAAGAATGGTGCCGAGACCTTATCCTGCATGATCAGGTTCTCAAAGAATGTCGGTTCCCCTGACGTCGCGATAGAGCTGAAACCAAGCCCGATGAGGCCGGAGATTGGATCCTCATTGAAGTCACTCGACACGTGAGTAACGGCACCGAAGTATTGCTTATCGATCTCCAGACTACCAATACTGATCGTATCATGCGCGAGGGTGCCTCCTACATTGCCGGATCCCTGAGCAACATCAAGCCTGCACCGAGATAGTGGGAGAGAAACGCACGTAAGTCACATTGAACGGATTCCCAGTATCCGTGTACGTTGAACTCGCATTGGCTTCATATTGCGGGTTCACGCAATCGCCACAACCCACAGGGACCCAGAGGTCTGCAGAGCCCGTGTCTATAATCACTGAGAGCTGTTGTGGATGTGTCTCGTTTCCAAACCCAACTGGACCGTAGTACTGGAGATCGATGTTCCCAACTATCTCGTCCGTCAGGGGGTCCGTCGCACTCTGAGCGGCGGCATTCATCGCCAAAAAGCTCACGTTGGCCTGATGTGATGCTGGGGTTGATTCGGACAACGCAAAACCGGAGAGGTTGCTCGTCGCATCAGTGAGCGCTGCGTCTGATAGCGCATCGAGCCTGGGGTCTGAAAGTGCATCTGGTAGCACCACGAGGTTCTTGCCAGCTATAACATCTTGCGCATTCATGTATTTTAGTTTGATGGCTTTTAACTCAGCCCTCTGAGTGTACGAGTTGGTCTTGCAGAAGATTGCATACGACAAAAACTCACCGCGACCTGCGGATTAAAGATTGGAATGTTGATTTCAACTACGGCGGTCGAGCTGTGCCAGTCCTACGTGTGGTTGAACGTTCCAAAGGGATCATGCACGTACATCGGGGGTGCCATGTCATACATGGGAAAGCCTAACGCGCCTGTGGTCAGGAGAAGAAAGGAAAAAGAGAAGTGGGGAAGCATGGTAGCAGACATGGTATAAGGATGGAGAAACGGTGACGGAAGCTGGAGGTTGAAGTGAGTCTTTTACGCCAGACATAAAATTCCAATCTAGACTGGCGGCACGCTTCAATACACTGCTTCTTTCTGCTGTAACATAACATTCTGAGGACTTGCCAGCCCAGATCAAAATCTGAAAGACGAATGAAGGCAAACCTGTGCATCTGACTGAAACCCGACATCGAGCAAATCACACTCACGTCACCGAGTTCGGAATCAAATACGACAAACAATGTACTACTGCTGCTGGTCATTAGCAGGAACTTTTAGGGAACCTTGATAAGATCGACCCACTTTGCCTGCCCAAGTCCATGTGTACTTGTATGTGAAGCGCGATATGTGCAGCCTCCCTTGGGTCGAACAGACAAGGAACTCGCACACATCGGGTTGCACCACACAATTGGATGAGGATGACTTGAGGTTTGATGATACCGTAAAGTAAGTCATTCCAGAATATTGTGAATAGTCAGTGACATTGTGTTCTAGCAAACACTCTCACTCCGCCATAAACCTGTCTTTGGGCCTCGCTCCCCCTTGCGGCGCATGCGCGTCATATGCGAATACATCACCTACAGCCCTTCCGGAACGCGGAGTCAGCGACTAAACGAAAAGTGACATATACAACTCCACCAGGCATCCAAATTGCTACGAAACCTGCCTTTAATAACCCAGTCCTCGAGGCTCCACACCACCCACTTGCTGTCTGTAGTACTGGATATAACTGCTACCTTATATCTCGTCCGTCAAAGGGTCTGTTGAACTCTTAGTGACGGCCCTCATGTTCGCCTGCTGTGAGATTGAGGTTGATTTGGACAGCGAAAATTGGGGAGATTGCTCGTTGTCACATTGGCGAGCGCTGGGTCCAACAGCACATCGAGCTCTGAATCTCCATGAGAACCTGCTGCATCGCCCTTCCGAACAAAGGATCTCGACGTAAAGGCAGGTGTTCAAGTTGATGTGAGCGGACAAGTAATTGCCTCTGGAATGTCTGCTTGCTATCTATATGGCGCACCCGATAATGAGTTCGTGCACAGGCGACGAGAAGTTGAGGAGAGTGATGTACAGCTAATGGCTGTATGCGGATCTAGATTACAATTAGGAGTCGCTGACAAGATTTCGACATCACGGCCAGTAAGGGATCGTAGCATAATTACGATTGAGTTATTAAACATGCTGATTTGTCGTAATTTCTTTAGAGTATGTTTAGGCTTGTTGGGAATGGAAGCTGTTGCCAAATAATATACAACAACAACGTTGACCACCCTATGCACAGTACTGTAGAGTTACGACCGTAACTTCGTCACGTGTCCCACCCCACAGCGAATCGAACCTATTTGATGTGACGGTCACACTAAATTTCGGGGAGCGAAGCTATTTTGTGACATGCAGGTAAAACAGGAAAAATCACCAACAAAAAAACCAAAAATTGCTATGGACAGTTAGACACAAGATTCATTCTGAAGGGTCAAAATTGATAGACATGCTGAGAAAAGGCCAAACTCACATGGATTGCAGCTGCCAGGGCAAAGCTAACTTGGATAGGTCACACATCACAAGGGCCTATGAAGCTGCGAAGCTAAGTGTGACATGGTCACACCTGAAAGGGTGCAAAGCTACTGGTTGTAACTCTACAGTACGCCCCTATTCCCAGCTATGCAACTCAGTCTCAATGGCCACATGTTAGCACTAGCACAGAAGTGCTGAAGTGAAATGCAGGTTTTTGGTTTCATCATTTCTCCCACAAATTAATTGTAGGTGTTGGGACAAGGGGGGGTGGGGTTGAAATGCTTGACTCTATGTGTGGAGATGCCATGGAAATTGACAATTGTTTATATCACCATCAAGGGATCATTAAGGGCAAATTATGTGGAAGATGCCTCAAAAGTAGACTGGTGACCTTGTAGACAGAATGTTTGCAACTCTACACCCAGTGAGTTCAACTCTTCATCTTGTCCACATCCATTCTCTAGTATCTGAACTCAACTTGAACTGCTTGTCTACCAGCTTGCTAGCAGTTCTTCCAGCATCTGGGAGGATGTGGACAGATCCATCCACAAGAATCATATCCTTCAGGACCCCAGCAAACCCTTCCATAACTAGATGGAGGCCCTCTTTCTCCAACCTCTCTGGAGGCTTTACTTCAGCTTGCGCAGATGTCCGCCTTGACCTATATCCTACTCATGAATTGCTCAGGAATTCTATATTTATGGAGCAATGCAGAAAGAAGAGAGCCATCTGCTGGTATGTGATGTGCCAGTGAAGATGTCTAGGTTGTACTGCACAGATGTTAACAATGACATCTATATTTTCTTGTGGTATTCCTTCAAATGGTTGGAAACTAGATTTCTCACAGTCATCAAACAACTTGAACAGCTGACAAGTCTCATAGGCAGATATTTCATCATGGCATCTATGATAATGAAGTTTATTGATGATGGAAACAATGATTCCCATGATCGACTTCAGCTCATGATTCATGCTTGAGGCTGGGATGAAGGTTCCTGAGTTATATGACTGTGTCCTCTCCATGTGTACCAACCCTAAGTGGGCATACCCTGCACTTGTCCGTTATTGCTGCCCTTGCCCACCCACTGCCACTGCATCAGTAAAACACTTTTTTTCCCACCACCAAAAAATGGCTGGCCACAGCTTGGTCCCTTCTGTACAGAGCTGTACAGAGCCCACAGAAGCAAAGTGATTTGCTGATGTGTCACAATTTTTGAAATGTCTTGGCTCTGGCTGGGGCCAGGATGTCATGACAGTCCTAATGTAGTGAACAGTTTGTCATAGATAAGAATTGAAGAAGCAGAGCCAAGCCATATGATGAAACCCACGACCCCAGAGACTAAAAGACTCATTACCCTTCCTCACTCAGCCACCAAAGTCACTTTCACTTCTTATCAGTATGCTATGGCTTCAGGGATTTCCCCATTCAAATTTACAATTCTGGCCAGAGATCCTAGACTGGAATACCTGCAGACCAGGAGTGCTACTGCTGGACCCATGAAGACTGAGAGTGGCTGCATACCTCGGGCAGGCGAGATTGGCTATAGATGCCCCATAGCCAAGCATGGCAGTATACCCTTGCAGTATTTGTCTGTGTGACAATGGAAGGATTTTTGAGCATATTGGAAACAATCAGCGGTGTATCCTATCCTTTGCCGTCGGCTTTCGAAGTTGTCAATCCCTTCAGGAGCTAGCCCGATTTCTTGATGTTCACGAAGTTCCTGGCCTTACATAAGGTACCAGAATCCTTCCATATTTGCACTATTGGACCGTCTTTTCCCATCGGACAGCTATGACGGCCTCAGGAATGTCGACCAGCTTCTGATGCTTACAAGTGTGTGCCTGTCAAAACCGGGCCGTCCATCTCTCGCAAGCTCCGAATTCATGGGATGACAAGCTTAACCATATATTCCTATGGAATTGCCATCGCGCTCCATGGCTCGAAAGGCAGTGATGTTTGAAGGGCCTGCAGTCTTACCTCATTGTCTTCAAAAACTTGCACGGGTATGTGTATTTCCCACTATTCCACTGAACATTCCACTAAGTGATACTGCAATATTGCATTAGATTCTAGATTTCTCTTTTCTTTGGCCTGGACTTGTTAGCATGCACCTCCAGTAAAGCACTGCCAGTCATTACTTTCGACTCCGAAATGTCACACTAGACTTCGCACCCGCAAACTCACCAGATTATCTGAAACTCGTTCTAATCATATCGATATTTCCATGAATACTAGATCATTTCAAAGCGAGGTGAGGTTTACGTGTTACACGCTCTCTTTCTGCTGCGGCCGTGCACAACACGTCGGTGCATTGCATCTCGGATCATCTTCATCCTCCTTTGATTTATTATTCTCTTGGCCTCGTGGCAACACAGCAACGGAAGACAGCTCTATAGCGTCATAACAGTCAGCCTCATCAGCCCAGGTAACCTTCTCAATCCTGTACGGGTGGTGCGTCATGGTACACCCGCTCTAATTCCGTATCTCCGGCCGAGGTATGGACGATTGTGCTGTACAGCATCATGTGAACGTCTGTGGCAGCCCCTCGCGGATCTTGTTTATCTGGCCGCACCAGAAACACGCGAATTACACTTCAACATTTTTACCCTCACTGCGTCAAGTGCAGCAATCAATGCGACTTTGTAGTTCATGTCCGTAACCACTCGGATTTCAGGGGCTCAAGGTCAGTAAGTCTTCACCAGATCGTATCCTGTGAACAGCTTCCTTCTCAAGAAATTAGTATCAATACTGTGTTTCTGTCACCTTTCAAACACTCAGAAAGCTGGTGTACTCCGGAGTTCCGTCGAAGTAATAATACATATCATCTCTTCTAAACGAAGACACGCTATACGTCCATGGGTATTGATTATACAAAAAAGTTTACTGCGCATTGTTGATGCTAGGCGCGAAACCCACCCTCCCCCCGTGCGAGTAGTCAAATACCGAGTACCCTAGATAATCATAGTCATGAACGTTTCAGATCAAACGTCATGCACCAAGCCACTACTCACATGATTTCATAAACTCATTCCCTGCAGCACGCGACGTCAACAAAACATCCAAGAAAACGAACCGAATACCCAAACAACTTACCGATGATGACAATTCCTTCCATGAATGCATCGTCCAGGCCAATGATCCCGCCAATACAGTTTCTGCGCTGATTTAGGCGACGTGCATTATATGAAGACATACTGACTTACGTTGACCCATACCCATCTTGTCCGAGCTTAAAATCCTGGATACTGAGTCCGAAGTCGTGCCCGCCAAGCGAGAATGAAATCGTGGGGTTGGAGTCGCACGGAAAGGAAAAGAAGCCGGAGCTGTAGGTTTGCTGCGGGGCCAGCCCCGGGTATCTACGACTTGTCAGCGAGGTGGCGAGGGAAGTAAATAGCGAGAGACTAACATTGGCGTAGATTGAATTTGCCAAAGCCTGTGAAACATATATAAAACTAGAACCTGTGTCAATCATCTGTTCGTATGAAACGAGGTGAACCTGCGTGAACCTCTGGCTGACGAGTTGAACCTTACCGCATCGACGTCACCAGACACGTAGTTCCCTTCAACAACAGCTCCGTCAAAATGCACTGTCCAGTAGGTCTGCCGATAATAACCAGTTAGACGGGATGCTTAAAAACGCAAGAGGGGCAACCTTGGAAATAACTGAGACCCATGTCAGAGGTCCCACTGCCTTGGACATGTCGTAGCCACCCAGAGTTATCTAAAAAAATCCTCTCAGTTAAGTTATATGAAAGCTAGTGCGCAACGTACCTTCGACCCGCTCGCCTTTCCTCTCGTCAAATGTACAGAGAAGAATGGTGCTTCGACCTTTTCCTGCATGATCAGGTTCTCAAAGAACGTTGGCTTCCCTGACGTCGCAATGGAGCTGAAACTGAGCCCGAGACACCCGGAGATCGGGTCGGTATTGAAGTTACTCGACACATCAGTGACAGCACCAAAGTATTGGTTGTTGACCTTTAAGCCACCCATGCCGATCGTATCATACGCAAGAGTCCCTTCTGCATAACTGATACCGTCCTGCCCAGCAATATCAACCCGGCACCGTGATAGCGGGAGGGAGACGCACGTAATTTACATTGAACACATTCCCAGTATTCCTGTACGTTGAACTCGCAGCAGCATTGAATTGCGGGCTCGCGCAATCGTCGCAGCCCGCAGGAATCCAGAGATCTCCAGAACCCGTGTCAAAGATTACTGAGAGCTGTTGTGACTTCTTCCCAAATTCAAGTGGGCCGTGGAACGGGACATTGATGGTCCTCTGTATCTCGTCCGTCAGGGGGTCCATTGCACTCTGAGCAGCGGCATTCATCGCAGAAAAGCTCATGTTTGCCTGCTGTGATATTGTAGTTGATCCGAACAGTACAAAACCAGATAGGTCGCTCGTCGTATCGGTGAACGACTGCGTCTGACAGCGCATCGAGCCCGGGGTCTGAAAGTGCATCTGGTAGCGCCACGAGGTTCTTGCCGGTCAAAAAATTAAGAGCGTTCTGGTATTTTATTCGGAGGGCTTCTATCTCGGCCATCTAGGCATACAAGTTAGTAGTTGAGAAAGGGTTTATGAGATAGAAGCTCACCACAGGCTGGACATTGAAGACTGAGACGACGGTCGCGGTGACCAAGTCCTGCGTGTGATTGAACGCTTCAAAGGGACCCCGCACGTACATTGGGGGATAAAGCACCATGTCATACACAGGAGAGCCCAACGCACCTGCAGTGAGGAAGAGAAAGGAAAGAGATAAGTGGGAAAGCATGGCAATAGAAAAGGTAAAGGGTGAAGGAAACACGATGGGAACTGAAGGGGAAGCAAGTCTTTTAAACCCACTGGCATAGAATTCCAATCCGGACTAGCAGCGCGCTCCAGTGACATAACATAACAGGCTGAGTTGACACGCCAGGCCAGACCAAAATGCTGCATTGGAAGAAAGGGTGAGGGTAACATCATATTTGATTGATGCCAGACATTGAGCAGGTGATACCCATCAATGAGTTGGCCAGATCAGACACGACAGGTAATATGCCACTGCTGCAGAATTGAACAGTGCGCTTCAGTGACATAACAACCTGAACTGACCCTCCAGCCAGATCAAAATGCAAAAAAGGTAAAGATGACACCTACATTTGACTGGAGCCGGATATCCACTGCTGCTGCCGACTCGTTACCCAGAACTTTAAGCTAACTTTGATAAAACCGACTCACTTTGCTTACAGAATTCTCTGTGTACCTGTATGTCTGCACGTGCGACGCAGCATATGCAACTCACCCTAGATCGAAGATAGCCAAGATGAATGGCACATATTGAGTTGCACTACACAAGTGGTGGAGGGCGATTCTAGGCGTGATAATATCGTAAGGTAAATGGTCTAGGGTATTGCGAATCGTCAGCAGCATTTGTATTCATGGCACCTCTCACTCCGCCTTAGGCCTGTCTTTGGGCTTGGCTCCCAACTTCTGGCCCTTACCGACGCCAAGCACCTTGCGGCGCATGCGCATCATATGCGAATACATGACCCACAGCCCTGCGAGAACCGAGAGTCAGCGATCAAATGCAAAATAGCATGCAGAACTCACCAGGCGCCCAAATCGCCACCAAACTTGCCTTGACCCAGTCCTCAGTGCTCCACACTGCCCACTTACCGCCGCTCCACTCTGGAATGGTGCTCAACATGACCAGGGCCTCACTTCCTGCGCCGATGGGGTACAGGACATAAAATGTGGAATAGCGTATCCATGTCAGCCACGCAGGCACGCCGCAACCTGCAAGTGAGAGCGCGTAGTATGCGTAGCGTGGCACTTCGGTCAGAGCCCAGGCAAGAATCATAGTGGTATAGACCGGGCTCGAGTGGGTATGGGGAAAGCGCTCGACGATTCCCCAGACAAGGATGAGACGCGAGGAGACCTGGACTACAGTTGTCAGGAGCGGGAGACGCACAAACCCAAGGAGGACATGCAAAATTTCAAGGGCAGCGAGGGACTGCACAGGTGCAAGGGCAGAGAACGTGGATTTGTATGTTGCAGGGAAAAATGGATGTAAAAAATATGCGAGAGCGGTGGAGAAATGGTTTGTTGTTTCAGGCTGTGGTGTTAAAGATGCTACGATTGAGGTCGGCACGTATGAAACAAGTGGTCTGAAGAAGTCGTATGCTGAACTTGAAGCACGTTGACCTTTGAATACGGCAAGAGCGAGGTAAATGACATAGGTCCATCCTGCCGTAGATAATGCATTGAACGCAATTAAATAGAATCGCACAGCGAGAGAGGGTCCTGTAAACCATATCCACGAGGTCAACTTGTAAGTTTCAAGTTTATTGTTGTGTTATTTACCTCGTGAGCGAGCACTTGGCAATTTGTGGTCCTTACTTGGCATTTTGGATCCTGGTCGTTGGATTGGCAGGCTTGTCGTAGGGACTTGATAGGTAATACACCTACGATACGAGCCGGTAGAGATGATGGTTGTCCTTTTAGGTTTGTTAAATATGTTCGAACTCTAGTTGTGCCACTATTGCCCAAGCCTTTGGCACGTGACTCCCTATATTGATCCTCTTGCCAACTCGGACTCTGCACAATTGATCATAGAACTTGAACGTTTGAACCTCACGAGTGTCAGCGCACTCGTGAACTTTTGATGAATACTTGATGTAACTTGGGTTTTCTTTGTGCAAGCTCCGTGACCAAGTACTTGTGGTCAACAACATTGACAAGCGAATATGATAGGGAATCAACAAGCAAAGGCACATAGTAGTTCTTTGACTTTCTGCGGGCATTTTAGTCTCCCGTTTGTTCGATAGAAGTCACAACACTAATGCAATTGATCACTACAGAAATCTAGGGGATCACACAATGGCACACATCTCCTATAGTTCACTTCCGACCCCAAGCACCGCTGATGTGGTTCTGTCTGGCTGTGCACTGGCAGTGTGGCCACACAGCAGCCTCGTATCTTCCTGTGCAAGCACTGGACGATGAGCGCCTACTCCTTCAACTGTATTCCACAACCATCCAGTGAGCTTTCCATAGCAAAATATATTGAAACATACATCTGTCCATCTCATTGTCATTGCACCTTGCACTTTCCATCAATCGACACTGGACAGCTTGATCATTCCACAACCTAAGTCTTGTCACAACTTACAAGTTTTGATTCAAATTCTTGTATGTTGTCCCTCCAGATAATTACAATCCAGATTATTTCTAAATGCACCCTTGAACCTAGCTGGTACTTTCAGTTGGTTCATTGCATCTTGCTGCATATCACAACTTTCATCAATGAGCGATGATCAATGTCAGTACTTCCATCTCTTATCTCTTGCATACTCTCCAACCTCTTTGCCAGTTCTTGAAGGAACTTGGGCGAGGCTGGCCCAGGTCATTGTCAAGGGTGCTCAATATAACTCCCACAAATGTCAGCCCCACCTGAAATGTTTGGATGGGACCTGGGTTGATCTCCTCAAATACATCCATGAATCACTGGACAACCCAAAGAAGAATCAACTCATTTGGCTGCATGGCACAGCTGGTATCAGAAAGTCTGCCGTTGCATTTACAGTTGCTGAAAAGATGAGAGGTCTAAAAGTGACAGAAGAGATGAAGGTTGAAAAGTGGCTAGTGGGAACATTCTTTTTCTCATGCAAGCACACAAACCACTGCACAGCTGGATGTTTCTTTGCAACACTTGTTTATCAGCTTGGCACCAATTTTCCAAGTATCCAGCAGGATGTGAACAGAGTGATTTGCAGCAATCCTGCTCTACTAGACCCTGACATGCCTCTCTGTGACCAAATGGAAGCTCTCTTTCTCCAACCTCTCCAGAAACTTTGATTCAGATTATGTGGATGTCCTCCATTGTCATTTGTTGTCGATGTGCTTGATGAATGCATGTCTGAACCTGAGCTTACTGATCTCATCCTTTCCCTTGCACAGGCTCTTCATGAGCCTGATCTGCCTGTGACCCACATCCTGCTCATGAGTTGCTCGGAATTGCATATCTGTAAAGCCTTCCAGAACAAAGAGGTGCGCCTGCTGGTGTGCGAGATACCAGTGAAAACTTCTGGGGAGGGTGTTGCTACCATCATCTTGCTAGATGGTGCCAATGTCAACAATGACATCTATATATATATGCAACATTCCTTCGGGGAGCTGCAATGCTGCCATCCCGATTTCCCACAGCCATCAGTGGGTGACCTTGTGAAGCTGACAAGCTGAGCTGGCAGACGTTTCATCGTGGCATCTATGATGATGAAGTTTATTGTTGATGATGGATACAAGGATCCACACGATCGGTTACAGCTGATGCTCGAATTGATGAGCAAGCTGCTAGCAGGAATGGAGGTGTACAAGTTATATGATGGTATCCTCTCTACATGTGCCGATCCTAAGCAGGCATACCTTCACTTGTCCATTGTCACCACACTTGTGGACCCTCTGCCACTATCACAAATCTTGGAACTTCTTGGCCCTGGTCAGGGCTGTGATGCCGAGATGATGCTAGTGCAGCTACAGTCTGTCATGGATATTCCTTCCGACATCAGTCTTCCTGTGAATATCTATCACTCATCTGTTCACAACTATGTCTCCAACCCCTCAAACTGCAGCCTCCTTCAAGTACGTGGACATGATATGCCATCACCCCACACCCTACTCGCCAGTTCCTCTCTCCACTTGATGAACATGATTCCAAAAAGCACGGCTCTCTTGGATGCAATCTCAGAACTGGAGAAGCACAGCAAAGCTATGCAACCTGAGGACCCCCATATGTTAAAAAACTCATTAGCATTCCCTGTTCAGCTGCCAGAGCCACTGTTGTCTGTCATCTGTATGCTGTGGCTTCGGGGAGATCACACTTCAGATTTACAATCTTGGCTGGGGACTGTGGACAGGTTTTCCTGGCTGCAGACCCAGGCAGCATGAGACTGGCTGCAGACTCAGGCAGCATGAGACTGGCTGCAGACCCAAGCAGCACAAGACTGGGTGCAGACCGGGACAGGTCAAGACTGGGTGGAGACCGAGGCAGGTTGAAGGTGGCTACAGACTCAGGCAGCACAAGACTGGGTGGAGACCAAGGCAGGTTGAAGGTGGCTACAGACCCAGGCAGTGCAAGACTGGCTGCAGACTGGGGCAGGTCAAGACTGGGTGGAGACCCAGGCAGGACAAGACTGGCTGCAGACCAAGCCAGAATGAGACTGGCTGCAGACAGAGGCAGGACGAGACTGGCTGCAGACCCAGGCAGGATGAAGGTGGCTGCAGACCTGGGTAGGACAAGACTGGCTGCAGACAGAGGCAGAATGAGGCTGGGTGCAGAGAGAGGCAGAACCAGACTGGCTGCAGACCAAGGCAGAACCAGACTGGCTGCAGACCCAAGCAGGACCAGACTGAGTGCAGACCCAGGCAGCATGAGAGTGGCTGCAGACCTGGTTCAGATGAAACCTGTTGCAGACCCAGGCAGCACAAGACTGGCTGCAGACACAGGCAGGTCGAAACTGGGTGGTGTCATATCCACATATCCGGATCTCAGATCTGACCCTTATCTCATCTCAGATCCACATCTTATCTCCAATCCTATCCACATCTTATCTCCCTCCAACATCTTGTCATTCAACCTGTCCACTCATCCGGTCTGGTCCACAACTCATCTGAATCCACAACCAGCGCTTGTCTCATTTTGGTAACCCCCTAACTCCAGTATTTTGGTTATCTGTATATCTGTCCTGCTCCCTTATCCACTACCTATGTTTCATTTCCGTTTCATGATTTGTGATCCGTTTCTACTTACCAATAGACTATCCACATGCTTTGTACATAGCCTCAGACTCTGCTGATTGATCATTCCATTAGATACCTATAGTATATAACCTCCTGTAACTTTCTGTAGTACCTCAGTTCGAATATCATCTTAGTTCTACTCATTCCTGTCCTCCAAACTTGAGTTACCTCTACTCTTGTCACCCTCCAAGACTTAGGATTGATTCCTATAGTCTATCTGTATCCACCTCTGTCTCTGACAGTCCATTACTGTTAGTTTCTAGTCTGGACTTGTCTGGATTAGCCCTACGATACTTATCCTTCATCCAGAAGTCATCCAGATCCATTACACTACTCATCCGACCTTCCAGATGTGTTAGTCTTGCCTTCCTGAGATAAGGGGCAATACTTGGGTAAGGGGCACAGCACACAAGCTGAGGCCGAAGCCCTTCGGATCCAGTTACCCTTTGAGTACGACCTTAACAGGTGGAGACCAAGGCAGGACAAGACTGGCTGCAGACCCAGGCAGCACAAGAGTGGCTGTGGACCCTGGCAGCACAAGACTGGCTGCAGACCCCATGCGGGTGCGACTGGTTGCAGACTCTCCATGGTCAAGCATGGCAGTCCACTCCTGCAGCCTCCATCTGGGTGACAATGGAAGAGTTCTCGAGGACATTGGAAGCGATGAAGGAGTATGTCACATCCCACAATCTGGACCCACGTTCCATCATATTCCCACGCCTTCTGAGCCTACATCCAGACCCCACTTCATATCCAACTCATTCCCAGATCCCCTTCTGCTGTGTGCTCCACACTTTAGCAGGATCAACTACACTCCGGATTTACCCCTGAGCTCTGGACCTCTGGATCCTCACTGCTAGCCTGATCTGTATAACCCTATCCTGTCCACCCTATGTGCACTCCATCCAGCAAGACATCTGGACTTCACCTCATCTCGGATCCTGGACTATATCCACCTTCTCGTATTCTGGTCCTGTATCCACCTTGTCTTCCAGATCCCCAGATCTCTGGACCTCTGGATATTAACTCCGGACCTATTCCCACCCTCTGTCCAATATCCTGCGCCTATCCCCATTTAGGCATTCTCTGCCTTCTGGCTTTCAGTTACCTCTTCTTCCATCTTGCTTATTGATCCTTGTATGAGTCCTCATCTCCAAGTTCATTTACTTATGTTCCAACTTACTTACTAATGTGTTTCCACATGCTTGTACATAGCCTTGCTCCTTTGCTTACTGATCCCCTCAGATATTGTTCAGTATATAACCCCTGTAGATACTCCTGTAGTTCCTCAGTTTGAATATCAACTTGGACTTGCCCAATCCTCTCTCAGACTTTGGTCCACCTAAGTCTGTCCTACCCATCAGGCCTAGGGATTGATTCCCTAGGCTGGAGCTCTGCCTTTCTGGCACTTACTTTCTTTCCAGACTTAGGTCCAATCCCTGTCTCTCCAACTCTACCTTAGGGTAGTCTACCTCTGTTTGTTTCTACATCAGACTTCATCCGATGTAGCCCCTATTCCTTCTGGACCTCTGGACCTCCTGTCCCTTGTACCTCCAGGCATCCTGTCCTTTGGATGTTCCGCCCTCCGTACCTTTGGATGTTCCATCCTCCTAACCCTTGGACATCCTATCCTCCTGTCCTTTGGACATCCTGCCCTCTGTACCTTCGGACATTCTGTCCTTTGTACCTCTGGACATCCTATCCTTTGTACCTCTGGACATCCTGTCCTCCATCATCCTGTCCTCCTGTCCTCCTGTCCTCCTGTCCTCCTGTCCTCCTGTCCTCCTGTCCTCCTGTCCTCCTGTCCTCCTGTCCTCCTGTCCTCCTGTCCTCCTGTCCTCCTGTCCTCCTGTCCTCCTGTCCTCCTGTCCTCCTGTCCTCCTGTCCTCCAGACCTTCAGACCTCCTATCCTTCCATCCTGTTTCCTGTAGAAGTATTACCTTGCAGTGGGAACTCTCCTGAGCACTTCCTGCATTCCTCCGGAACTCTCCTGCGCTCCTCTGGACGTTTCCCATGCTCCTCCGGAAGTCCTCTAGTGCTCTCCAGCAGAGTAGCCAGCCTCCAGAAGTCCTCCAGACTTTGTCGGACCATCATTGGACCTCATACGAAATGAAGGGCACATACTCGGGTAAGGGGCACAGCATACGAGCTGAGGCCAAGCCCCTCTGAGTCAGTCTCTCTCCCCCTTGAGCAACATGGTTCTTAACAGAGTATATCATTATCAGCAATGTGCCTTTACTGCCAGCGTTTCAAGTGATCCAGCAGTTCAAGACCTTACCAGATTTCTTGATGTTTCCAGTCTTCCTGGCATTAAGATGCCAGACTTCTGCATTACCAGAAAGCCTTCTTCTACCAGACAGGGAGGTAATCCATGCTCTGAATGCCTTCAAGAGTTTCACAAATGAAGCACTGGAACACGGTCAAACAGCTCCTGACGCTCTCAAGTATGCCTGTCACAACTGGGCCATACATCTTTCACATGCTCCCCATCCATGGGATGACACACTCAATCACATATTCCAGGCTTTTTGGAATGATCATATTGTATCCTGGCTGGAAATGGAGTGGTGTTTGAAGGGTCTGCTGCCTTGCCTCAGCATTTTATCCAAAGGGCAGAAACTTGCAAAGGTATGTATTTTTCTGATCATTCTCGATCCACCTACTTGACAATTGTAATTATCTCTCCTGCTCAGTTTGAACCCGTTAACGCGCAGCCTAGTCAAGGGCTGTCGGCCGTCGATCCTGATTTCCACCACTCTCTGACGAATCGAGAGGCTCGGACTAAGAACGGGAATGGGACCCAGTCTTGGATTGAAAGGCTACAATCGCTATGGACCATACCTAGGAACGTGAACAGGACTTAGTAGGGCAATAGTCAGGAAAATGTATGTAGAACTGTGAATAAGAGGACTTACCTTAGTTTTGTATCAAAAGACAGGGAGAGTATTCGACGGGGAGAGGAATTAATACGCTGATCGAGACTCGGGAGCATCAAAGACGTATGTAAAAGACAAGGATGAGAGTGACATCGAGAGTCGTATCTTGACACTCGATAAGGGAAACTTCGGCACCCACGTCTACCTCTGGATGTCGACCAGAGAGGGCTCTAGCAGCTATGCTTCTCACAGAAGAGCTTGTCGTCATCTCACATGCGAGGCCTATTCCTAACCCTCGCCTATCAACCCAACGAGGCTCCTCCCTCTACTTCCCCTCTTGCACCACCCTTACCACCCGTCCCTTCTCCGAGGCCCAACACTACTGTATTACATATTGGCACATCCAGGAAGCGCATGTTGGATGAATTTCTGATCAACAGTGATAGCCAGCTCGAATCGGACACCCCTAGCCCATCAAAACTACACCTGCCGCTCAAATTTAGGCCGAACAGAACTGTCTGAGACTGGGATAGTGAGTCTGTCACCCACACATTAGACTCGGAGCTCAATGATTTAACTTAGGTTTGCTTCATGCAAGCTCCGTGATCAAGTATTTGCTGTGTTATGGTTAACAACGTTGACAATAAATACAAGCGAATATAACAGTGTAGGGGAATCAATAAACAAAGGCACATAACTCGTTAAGTTTCTGCGAATTATCAGAGCCTCATCCGGAGGCTGGAATATTAGTGATCCCTTGTGGACGAAGGAGTCCAATTATGGCCTGGTGTTCAATGTAGTACATCACGGATGGAATAAATAAGAACATGAAATAATCGCCAAGGAAGCTCAGCTCGATGCAAGAAGCATTTTCCGAGGGTCCTCGATGTAGTCGCGGACCTTCACTACAAACGGCGCGTCAACGCGTTAGATAACGGTCACGTGAGATAGAATGATGGAGAAAGTACGAACCTAGGAAGGTGACTGCCTCCCGGCCATCGAGTAGTCTGTGGTCATAAGTGAGGGCGACGACCATGATGGGGCGGATGACGATCTGGCCGTTTACAACGACAGGTTTGTCCTTGATTGCGTGCATGCCGAGCACAGCAGACTGTGGTAGGTTGATGATGGGCGTTCCGTACAATGAGCCAAACACACCACCATTGGAACTAAGCGCACGAAATTAGTATTGGTTTGTATTGAGAATCAAAGAAGCTCACATGGTGAAGGTGCCTCCTGCCATGTCCTCGAGACTCAATTTACCATCCCTAGCCTGAAGACAATAGGTAAGCTCCAGGAGAATGCAATCTATACAGTGCTTGCCTTGTTTCCGAGAGCAGCAATCTCCTTCTCGATCTCAACAAAGCCCATGTCCTCAACATTCCTCACTACTGGGGTAACCAAGCCCTTGGGTGTCGCGACAGCGACGCTCAGGTCAACGAAATCATGGTAGACAATCTCGTCACCCTCGATGGATGCATTTGCAGCAGGAATCTCCTTCAGTGCCAGAGTACACGCACGAGCGAACGCGCTCATGAAGCCGAGCTTGACGTCATGTTCTTTGAGCACTTCGTCTTTGTACTTCTTCCGCATCTCCATGAGAGAGGACATGTCAATCTCATTGAAAGTCGTGAGCGAAGCGGCAGCGTTTTGCGATTCCTTCAAACGCTCGGCAATGCGCAGGCGCATACGGTTCATCTTAACCTAAAGGACGAGGCGCGTCAACACTACCAAAACAGGCATAGTAATGTTGCATACTCTTGTCTCGCCCCGATTGCCGGGGGTCTTTGAGGCAGGAGGGGGTGCTTTAGACTTGTCCTCTTTTGGCTTTGAATCCTGCTTCTTCACCTCCTCTTGGACTCTTTGGGCCCTTCTGGAGGGCTCTGCTTGTCAGCAGCTAATGGTGCGCGTGGCTCTGGTGTCTGCTTGTCCAGTTGCTGGTCCCTAGGTTCTTCAGGATCTGTCTTCTGCTCCTCAGGAGCAGCAGATGCTAGAGCCATGTGAAAATGTAATGTGAAAGAGCGTGTCATGAAGTTACACGAGGCTTACCACCGCCTTCGCCAGGTTTAATTATGAAGAGGTCCTGGCCAACGCTGACAGTGTCTTCCTCCTTTGCAAGCAACTCTACAATCCTCCCTGCTGCAGGCGCATTGACACTGACGTCAATCTGGTGTGAGGGAGGATTAGTGTTTTCAGAGGCGCTCATAAGCTGATACCCACCTTATCCGTCTCAATGGTTGCAACCTCCTCATCAGCCTCGACGGTGTCCCCAACCTGTTTTGACCATGATCGGAGTGTACCCTCGGAGATGGACTCGGCCATCTGTGGGACCTTTACGGTCTTGGAATGGAACTGTGCACGTCTGATATGTGTGTCGGCGACTTTCCTGTACATACAAGAAAGCGGCCGTTCGTCAACGATGTCGCCAACAGAAAAAAAAACCCAGAGAACACGCACCATCCTTTCGATAATGATACAGCAGTGTATTGAGCACCTCTGCTAGCAAAAAATGCACGACTGCGAGCAGCAGCGATAACTCGTTTCGATAGCATTTCTATGAGTCAAGTGACACTAGAAAATACTTAAATAATGAAGGCAGACAACACTTCTACACTGTGCTGGACGATGAATACGGAACAAATTGGGTAGACACGGCTGGTGATGATAATAATACGTGACAGGTCGCTTACTATATGTAGGTTGCCATGAACCTGGCAGACCAATAGTGGACACAGCTTCACGGTAGTTCATGCACACTGCACATGGTCCATGCAAGCAGCCGCACCACCTATTGTCAAGCGTCTAACATTGACCCAACGAGTCGAAGGGTGGAAGTTCTTAATCTAGTAGGTGCTCATGACATCTTCGAAGTCGTGTCCTTCGCGAGAGAAGAAATTCTACATTTACTACAGCTGGTCACCAATAACCATAAGTTAGTATAGGTACGGGCGCCGCCGTGGTCATTCGGTCAATAGATATGGTCATCTTTCATTACGGCAAGGAGTTCTGGTTCTACAACTTCTGGGTTTACTACTAGGTCGGTTCTCGTAGTAATGATACCAATCGATGCTGACGTGTCGATAGCCAAAGCTTAGCGCTCAGGGGGAGTCAGCGACCCGTGCAAGGCTGCTTGAAACTCCACAGCTCTATCGTATACACGTCAAGGAGTCTGTTGAATAGTTTTCAGTATCGAAAACCTGACCACCACTTGTTTTGATCCAATCAGGCAGCCATAATTAGTAATGACTTCGTGCACACCAGGACGATTGAAGAGTGATCGTGCAGACGCTTCCGTTAAGTTATATCTCATGATTCTGAATGTGTTGAATGATTTCTCATCACAGGGATATATCTTGCATCGTGGACACTTTCGTCCCAGTCAACCTCATAGTATACGGATGACGGTTTCAGATCAACTCTCCTCAACTGGGGGTTGAGTATAACAAATCAAGAAGCTGCGATCGATCGATCAAGGCTGCTGCCACTCCTGCATACGCTGGTCCGTCCAACGGACAACACAGTTACGTTCAATTCAGAATTTCATCCGGGGGACAGCGAGCACAAGCAAAAATCAATGCTGTTGCGGGATCTGGGCATATGCCAATTTTGCCTGTCACCTAGCTTATGGCTTTGTACAAAGGGCAGTCTCGGGATCTGAGGAATACGTCTCATCCAACCACTTTATGCCCGAACTTGTCTTGACTTCGCTCGTAACTACCCTGATCTTGGCGAATACACTCCCCTACTCTAATATGAAGGAGCGGCCTTTATTCAATAGGTCTGACCATATAGGGGAGACTACTTGATTCACATTCAGATTGGTCTCCGTTGATAAGTACACGGACTCGCCGCCAATGTCCGGTTTAGTCCCGTTCTTCAGCAAAATCCATGAACGTTGATCGCATCTTCAGTACTACGTTTGAACCCTCGAACTCGAACTTATCCAGGGTTCGTAGATAAAATGAATACGCGGGTCAGCGGTGGGATCTGGTTGGATACAGAACAACAGAATGCATAATAAATTATCCAAGGGCGTCCTGGCAGCATCATAGCGAAGGCAGCGGCATTGAATAAGAAGTTGATGACAGAATATTCATCCATGCGGCGGTTAATTAAACTGTCCAAGACAATGCCATTGTACAAGATGATCTGTCAGGAGGTTGTCAGAACCCAGCATTAAGGCCAGGGCGAAACAGAAGGACCGGCAGCCGGTGACGTCGTCGCGCTGGCAGATTTTCATAAGTCGTCAGAAGCCCCATTCTAGCAGGATGCCGAACACCACAAACTGTTGGCAAGATGATCATGTGGTATTGACTAAATCGTATATCTTATAGAGCCAGAGTAGAAGGACTGATCTTCAATTGCACAGTCATAATTCATCAAGAAGTGCGTTGCAATATAGAGGACTAGAGATACGCAGCGTTGTATGCTGCTCTGTTGTTGGGACCACTCTGCACGGGAAGATGTCGGAGATGAGCAGGACGTGCCATGTTTGCTACGAATAACTGCCGCGGTCGTATCAAGCACGCGGCAATAGCAATAGATTACATATATCTAGCCATTTATCGCGCCCTTCCATGGATGCGCTGGAAGAACAGGAAGATAAATGAGTGTAAGGCATAGATTGCGCAGCAGAAAGTTCACCTTGTTGTCTTTGCATGTCATTTAACCTAAACGACTGCCTCCGCACACTTTCTGTGCGGCTTCATTGAAGACGGTATAAAAGATTGTAGTGCAACCAAAGTGCAACTAAGACACTTGGAGGGAAGCTTGGAAAGATGAAATAGTCCCCGTCCATAAGCGCATGACCTCTGAAACCAGTCGGCCCTGAGTGGCGCAAACTAGAAGGAAGAAATAGGGAGTCTAGTCTCGCCCACGGTACCACCGAGCTGCAAATTAAATCTTCACCGTTTCAAGTAGCATCACTGACGTCACGGCTGGCCTTTTACAAAGCCTTTATAGAATTATTCAATCTTGACGAGGTAACCAGACAAGACGCAGAATGCGCTCAAAACATATTGGCACCCGTACAGTGCACACGAGGTACATTTGCGGTTTCAGGGATCACTTTCACTCGCGAAGATAGATAACCTGCATCCACATCACTGGAGAAACATGGTAAGCGCATACAACACCGAGGACTTGGTGGACTTACTTATCCGGCTGCCGAAGCAGGAGGTGACACTAGTATAGGGTTCAAACTTCAAAAGAGCGTTAATATTGCTAGCGATAGCGTAGCGAGGGACATGATCTAGGAACCGTCAATCAAAACCTTCCAAACCACGGCATAGTCCATGAATACCAAATTTTCTGCTGCCTTCTGTGGCAAACTCAATTTGTTATCAGCGGGCCCCACTGAGAAGCTTCGTATTTCGAGTTCCTTGATGGATATGACGAACTGTACGTGTTGTACTGGAGTGTAGCATGTCACATCCATCGGAGGCTTTGCGTAACGTTGCCAAACCAGTGGCCAAAAAAATGATAAATGCCCTGAATATTGGATAATGCGAGACAGAAACACATAGAAGATGTCTTGGTAAATGGGGCAGAGTTGCAAGAATGCCTGAGAAAAAAAACACAAAAATTGGTTGGAAGCACATCGTACTAGCACCGGTCGAAATTGAGTGGAAGCCATTGCACAGAAAGAAGAGGAGGATCACATTATTAACCAACATTTATCGCGACCAAATATCCATCCCGCTCAGTCTTCTCGCCTCCTTTGGCTGTTGCGATGCGTCACTCGCATTGAACGGGTTTCGTTGAGCTGCCTGCGGCGGAGCTTGCACGGCCGAAGCCACACTTGGCCCATAGAATGATTGTGGACCCGGTTGCGACGTCTGAGTAGCTTGTCTTGAGGATGACATACCAGGTCCCTGAGCCGCACCACCTCCACCATAAGACTGATATTGCTCGGGTTGCATCGGAACATAAAGCGCCCCGATATCTGTCCGCTGAGTCAGCGGGTCGAAAGGTGGATTCGGAGCCTGCTGTTGTGAAGGGAATGCTGCGGGGTACCGCGCGCCGGTACCAGCCGCGTTCCCTGCATACGCCTGCGTCGGGCTAGTCACCATAGCGTTGGGATTGTACCCGCTCGCGCCCGTATCGCTGCGAGCAGCAGTCCGGACATTCGACATGACAGCCTCCCTTCGATCGTCGTCCACTATAATCGTGGGCTGGTATGAGTGCGATAGCTTGGAAGGGGGCGGCGGGTAACGGGTGGATACACCCCACCCGGACATGCCGTTTGCAGCAGCAAGCTCAGCCTGTTGTTGCAGATATTCGAGCTGGGGGTACGGCTGCGCCGCGCTCGGCTTTCCCGCTTGCCGCCTTTCCCATTCACGCATAGCATCATCCCGGTTGAGCACAGGTGTCAGTGCGTTTCGTCCGGCTATCACATCTTGGTTCATATGCTGCAGCCGCGCCAGCGCAGGAGGAATCATGTCGTTATGGTTGATAGTATTGGCCCGTGCACGCGCATGGGGTGGGGGGTAGTGTGAGGCAGCGGGTGGGTTGGGGTTGAGCATCCCAGTCACGCTGATTCCTGTCCCCTGAGAGTAGCTAGCGCCAGAAGGGTTGAGCCCACTAAGCTGTCCAGGCTGGGACGACGAGAAGGTATGCTGCTGCTGCTGCGGCTGTTGAGCCGGGAATGACGACGGGGCCGATGCATCCTGTGGTGGCTGGTAGGACAATGGCGGGGGAGGAGGTTGCTGCTGAGGCTGCTGTGTCTGAGAAGCAGGCTGCTGCTGCTGCGTGATGTACGGGTTGCGGAAAACATTGTTGGCCGCCTGAGATGCGGCTTGCGCCTGCGCAGTGTAAGCTTGATGTTGAGCAAGCTGCTGGTTGTATGAGGCCGCATCCTGGAATGCTCTGGTGCCTTTCGGCTGCTGGGGAACAAGACCGCCGTACGGCCGCTTCGGGTCTGCATTGCCTGACGCGGACGACAACTGTGTAATCTGGGTAGTGGTGTGTCCATTGGGCTGTAATCATCTGTCAGTAAAAATTTTCAAGAAGATCGGTGGACAAGATAACGAACTTGGAAAGGCTTAGTGAACTTTTCACCGGTGATAAAAGGGTGCATCCTAGCCTGCTGGGGTGACCATCGTTCTATAGGGTTCAGGTTGAGTAGACCCTGGCAGAAGTCGATGAACGACGCTCGATTATTTAATTCTGAAAGACCACGTGAGAACGAGTCAGGCAAATGCCGAGAACACTTAATCTTACCTTTTTCCACTTCGTGCCCCTGCCGAGACGATGACTTGAACGTCGGCATCGGCGCAGTGTTGACGATCTCTGGAAGCGTGTTCGCCTTGAAGTAATGCTTCCCCGGCTGTTCCTTGGTGTTGTGCTCACGGGAGTACTGCTCCAAGGTTTTGAGGCGGTACTTCTTCTGGCCATACACATCTACGTAGGAGTCAAAAAACTGCTTCGTCTGCTTTCCTATGTCCAGCATGTATGTTGGAGGCATCCTGTGATCAAAGACTAGCGTATCAATAGATGTTGGTAACCCAACCAGTGAGACGAGATACGCACCCAAGCATTTCGACGATCCGGGTAATCTGATTATACTCGCTTGTCCCAGGAAAGAGCGGTAGCCCCAAGAAGAGTTCCACAGCAATGCAACCCAACGACCACATGTCAATCGAAGATGTGTAAGGAATTCCGAGGATGACTTCTGGCGACCGATAAAATCGCGACTGAATATACGTGTACACCGTCTGTCGTTCATGGCACGCTGATCCAAAATCAATAACCTTAATTTGGGGCGATTGGAGGCTGGTAAAGGTATTGAGTATGGGGAATGTGTAGGAAAAGAAATGAGAAATTACGATTTGAGTAGGATGTTTTCTGGTTTCAGGTCACAGTGGATCAAGCGTGCATCCTTGAGCACAGTCAAAGCATCTAATAGCTGAGCAGTAAACACTTTCACAAGTTGCGTGCTCAGTCCTTGGAATTGGTTTTGCTTGATCAGCTCATAGAGGTTAGATGAGAGGAGCTCAAATACAAGGCATAAATGATTTCGATGAATGAACGAGTCACGAAGTCGCAATATATGATGCTCATCGTGTGGATCGCACGAACTGTTGAGCTACAGGGACCAATGTAAACATCAGTTCGTCATTATTCGTAGAGAAACGCACCAGTTCCAGGATCGTGACTTCCATCATACTCTGGTTGAAGTATGCAGGCTTATTTTTCACCACTTTTACTGCCACGATCTCGTGGGTCTTCATGTTCTGACATTTCACCACCTGACCAAAGGTTCCTTGACCAAGAATATCCAGAATGAGATATCGACTGTGAACAGTTCAGTATACCGCTGAGGGCATGTAACATTGACGCACTTGTGACCATCCTCGTTTCCCAGCCAATCATTGACGTAGAGAATATAATCGTAATCCTCGTTGTCGTAACCTTCGTTGTGGGCCGGCTTACTCGGCTTGGTGAGCACCCTCCGAGGATTGTGCGCAGATTCATATCTGAACTGCGGGTTGCAGATATGATACGTCTCGAGGATGTTGGTAGTCAATTGCCTCAATGGCTATGTCACTTGATGTCAGAGCTCGACCGCGATCAAATTGAAACCACACGCACCGATAAAAATACCCCGTTGGCATCCATTCGTCTACCCGAAGGCTGAGGATTTACGTAAGGTCTGAGATCGCGTGTATCACGGATTCTTCTGAAACCAGAAGCTCGGCGTCGATGCGGCTGATCAACGACCATGGGCTGGTCTTGGTAGTACTGATTGGCCGGACTTTGCGGGTGAGTAAATGAGAGAGGGGTATTTGGGGTGGAGATGGAACTTTTGATAGGTGCTTGGCTGGATAGATGACTCTGATTTTGGTGTGGTGCGGGACTGGAGGAGTCCATCGCGTACGCAGCATAAGCAGCCTGCGCAGCACTCTGCGGGGTGTACGGGGACGATATTGGTGGCGTCGAAGATTCAACCTTGGTTTGAGAGGCGTTGCGGGCATGGGAATGATAGGCAGATGAAGTGTTGGGCCTCTGAGCATCAGATGATGAAGCGTAGAGGTAAGGGGTGGTAGACGGTGAGTACTGGGCTTGTTGAGAATATGGATCCAGGAGTGAGTTACCCGTACGCATTGGTGAACGTCCAGAGCGGGGGGTAGGATCATGCTGTGTAAGAGCTCGCTTTGGAAGGTTCCCACTGGAACCATTATAATACATTTCTGAATATGGTTCGCTGGATACACCTGTGGGAGAAGCGCTATTGTTGGAGGGAGGGGGACCTGGTTGAGATTGGTGGAAGGCAATGCTGGATGGGTAGAGGGAATTTGGTGTTGCAGCCATGTGTCTCGAACTAGGAACGTTTTGGGCGTCAAGGTTGAAAGCGCCCTCAAGATCTTCTGGTTGATGGTGACGACGAGCCCTGGAAGATCCGTTACCAGCTCCACTACCACCACCCAATGATGCACTCCTCGAAAGCTGGTTCAAACCTGTAGAAAGGAAAGATGAAGATGTAACGCCCGTTGGTTGATCGTGGTCAAGGATATGAGCTAGACGAGACTGCCTGGATGAGCCAGGAGATTGATGTAAGGGCGGCAATCTCTGACCGACGGTTGTGAGAGACTGCGGTGGTGGTGGAGGCGGTGCACTAGGATAGAGATAAGATGCTCTAGCAGCAGACTGAGCGGCCTGGGCAGATGAAGACAACGGTTCCAGATGAGCGTGAGTTTGCCAGCGAGGGAGATCAAAGTCTTCGTTGGTGTTGGTCATGTAGGCAAGTTCGGGTTCCGACATGCTCTGTCAATGAGGAAACAGTTAGCGCCGCTGCTCTCCTTGCAAGTCAGAAAATAATAGTAGGCCGTTTAGTTGTTTCGTCGTCGTCGTCAACGGCAAGTACGGCAAGGACAAGAAATAAATGGTTAGTCCCAGGCCACAAATGAGTCTAATAGCGCCAAGTTGCCACACGGTTCTACTATGTGAGGGGTTAAGGGTCGGCTAATCGATCTTAGGCCGCAACAACGGATCCCAAATCAATTTTGCTTTTCATTCTTAAAAAATTATTACAGTGCCAACTTCGTGCCAACACGAGTTTTATCCAAGTGGATCGATCCACTCCTCTAGACCCAGTACAACACGTGGCCAGGGGTTACTTCCGTGGCGAGATCAGTACTCACCAACGACATTTGACAACATGATTTGTATTATACGGCACCCAGATTGAATCCGCCACCCACATTATGACATGCCCCCTCACACATGCTTTGCACAGCAAATTGGTTGGATAGGGCAGAATTTATGATACCTCTGGGCCGTGTTCATCTCCAAGGCTGTTGAGGGTAGTAACTATGCCTTTCTCTGCATCAAACAACAGATGAGATCCCCGCGGTGTTGATAAAAGGGTAGCAGGCACATCAACCGATAAGAATATCTGTCGATGAAACCTCCGTGCTAGAATCAGTCGAATATAAATCAGCAACGGGCACGGCAATCCGAACGGAACAGAAAAAAATGGGTTCCACTTACCAAGACGCTGCGCCATCGAAAAAGATACATCAGAACTTGATGATCGGAACAGGGAAGTTGCAGGTCCAAAGCCCTTCCAAGACTCGCTCAGGCTATTGTTGGTGTATAATTGGCTATTAACATCATTTACTTACTGCATGGCCGGGTGGTGCGGGCATAGCACATGCCCAATCTCTGCAAAGCACACCAGAGCGGGCTGCATTCTGCACAGACTCTGGTGGCTGATTCGTAACACCAACCCAAATCATGTATGAGCCCACAAGGCTGGTGATTTGCAAGGCCAGGGCAGGCAATGATGGGTCGGACGGCGCGACATATTTTGACGTAACAGAGATCAAGGAAGGATTCCCTTGAGACGCGGCCGCCATCGTGAACGTTATCCGATACAGTGAACAAGCCCCGCAACGCGACAAGCACGAGTTGAGGAGAGTTGCAGCCAAGCCCTTATCAAAATTCAAATTGAGTCACCTGATATGTATTATTAATAATGCACAGGGGGTGTTCGAATTCAACTGAAACCATCATGTCCTCCAGCCAACCACATTCGCGGCCGACGAGTCCTGTGGATGCGAATGGTATAGTACGTTGCTCACATGGTGAAGCTGCAATAATAAGGACTAGTCAAACATCTTTAAACCCCAATCGGTATGTTCAAAATGGTTTTTAAGTTTCAGCACTTGACATACATTCGCCGCTCAGTGAGTTCTACACTTGCTCGAGATCAATCCAGAGTGAAAGGTGTAAATTTTTTTGTGAGGATCTCTCCTAGTGCATGTAGAAGTAGCTGAAACGAATTTGCCCAGATTGGGTAGACGACCCTATTTTTTCCCAACAGAATATTCCTGTACCTCACTCTGTACCTGCAACTACGCCTGCGGCGTTGAGACCGCCTCCTTCTCAAAGGCAGAGAGCCGAATCGGCTCGAGCATTGAGCACACCCCAGAAAATCCCCAGGAAGAGGATAGCAGACATAGCGAACGCCTTAAATGAATCGGAGCCTCAGGCCCCTTCAACGCCACAACATAACAGCCCCCAGCAACACGCAACTGATATGAATGACCATACGCGCTCATTTCTTTTTGGTTCCCAATCATCTCAGGCCTCGACGATTGGAGATTGGGAAGGGACATCGCCAGGAGATGACCCAGAACAAAGTGGTTCTTCTAGGACCGCGGACCAAAGTCTTAGAAATCTAGACCACAGGACACCAAAGAAACCTAGAATTACACCCGTGGAGCAGCGATTCGGTGTCCAAATCCCTTTTCCACTGACTCCACCTAAGACAATACGCCGCCGCGCCGACAGTTCTGGCCAGGGCATATTCCAAACAGATTTCCCACAAACTCCGACTAGGAACAAAGGCAAGCAGCGGGAGAATAACGTCGGGGAGCAAACGGTTAGCCTGGATTCGGCTGTTGCAGAGAGACTTATTGGAATTTTTGTATAGACTTCAGGCGCGAATGCTCGCGTTTCTGGCCCCCTTGAGAGCGGAAGCAGCACCCTCGAACGCGCCTCCGACGTCCCTGCGCGTACCTCTAAAACTCTCGAACGCACCTCTTCTAACCCCTTTATTATTCACCAAACTACTGGCGAAAGCATTGCTTCGTATCTAGAAGCACTGGACGCCTTACAGTCGCCGTCATATATTCTCAAAATGGAGAAGAAGCTCAGCGCGCTGGATCAAAGCAATAAATTCAAGGCGAAGTACCTCGAGAACCTAAAGGCTGCGAAGGCAGAAGTGGAGAGTGAAAATGCACGTTTGATAACAGAGAATGCGGGTCTTCAGAGTGAGAATGCGCGGTTGGCGCACGCGAATGCGCATCTGCAGGAAAGGTTGCTACAGTAGGAATTCTGCCCGTTACTATTCGTTTCCTGTCACGCTCAATGTCTTTCCAGGTCTGAGAACAGCAGCCGCGCCAAAGATATTGAAATTGCGGCTATCAAGTCCCGTCGTCCTCCAAATATGTGATTTGATTCTATTGGAATGGCTGTTTTCTTGGTTATTTTGACGTGGTGTGGAGGTAAGGAGTTTCTACTGCAAAGTTAACGTTCAAGGGCGATTTCACATAACGATCCAGGAAATCTACAATGTGTACCGGACCCAATCAACCAGTTCCATATTTATCCTTCAATATTTTTGTCAAGGCACATCTTTGTTCTCACCAATTCACTATCGGTTGCTTCATCTCGATCTCACGGGGGGAATCTATGGAGGCATTAATATTGGCGCCATGTGCGAACAGATCAGATCGTTGGGAACAATTGTGGCCATTCATCTGAGGCTTTTGTAGGATGGAGCACCAAGTTACTTGCCGTAAATCCTTTGGAGGTAGACTATTCAACATTGTGGAGGACTACGGTCTTAGAATCATAGTCTGTCCTTGCATTGAATTATTCTTCCTTGCCGTTTGGCTCAGATCCCAGAAGCAATAAGTAGTAGCCTTTTAGCGCAGTCTTCTTTCCTCACGCGCGATGTGGAGGATTTTCGTTACCGCTATCATAGCCACAATAAATCGTAAACTTAGGGCCTTTTCATTATCATAGCATGCGATGGGCTGTAAACCTTCTCCGGAGACACATGGAGAGAAATGTTATCCGGAGGCGCGAGAAAAGTTTGAGGGCCTACGACGACGAAAGAAGCGGATTTTGACGTGTATTTCCGAGAACTCCAGGTACACGATTATGAAGAAAGGACAAAGTAGTCGATCGACGTGTTATCTGAGAAGAAAAGCGAGGCCGCCGCACAAACACACTCCACTGGCATGTACGACACCGACTGCTTAGTTGGCGCCGAACTCTATCGGGAGCATCGCATGCCGCAAAGAAGTAGGGAAAAAGGGATTAACCGCAAAATGGGCCAACGATTCCCTCTCGCAGAACCCCCATCGGTATGGAGGAACTAGACAGAAATAAGACAAGTCAAACTGCTTGTAGCGACTATGGCTAGTACGCAAGATTATCCGTTTCAGTGTGAATCCGTTGCCGTCTTGCACATGTGCCGCAGCCAGGTGGGCTCCGGGTAGAGTTGCGTTTGAGGGGCACGTTTGAACCGAAATAAAATCGGAAGCAAAAAGAGTAAACGAGAGCCAGTAGCGTACGAGATTAATCCGCAGCCATGTTCAAAGTTTTTGAGGGCCTTTTCAGGCATAGTGTCTGGAAATAAATGGGCGTCCAGTTGCTGCCGAGCGAGTCGTGCTACAGCATGAGGGCTTAGTTGACCGCAACGCTCTGGATCCAGCTAGAACCCATCAAAGTGCTATACGGATGGGTACAACAGCTCCGACGAAAGGAACAGAAGGAGTTCCGGTAAAGGGGCTCGCTCGTGCTCGACACAATCCTTGCATCCCGGGCTCACCGAAAGCCACCGACAAAAGCCGAGCACAGGGAAATTTGTCTATCTTTGTGCAAGCGACAGTCTGACCCCCGAACGCGCCTAAGGGACATGGGAAGCATTGTGGGTCCAGTAATCTCTAGTAGGAGTTCACGTGGAAGACCCTTGATTATTGCCGCTGGACCAGAACTCTATTACTCACATTTAAATGCAAATATAACTATCCCCAGATCCGCAAGGACGAATATCGAGGTCGAAGTATTATTAAGAGCATCTCCCATGTGATCAGAGATGAGAAGGCCACGAAATGTCGTCTTAGAAGGTCACGTCAAGGTGCAAGAACCTTGTGGGGTTGTGTCCCGGTGCTCTGATAAGAGATATGCGAGTTGATGCTCGGCCCATTGACAAGGGTGTGTTTAGGAGGATGCGACTGCGGACCTATTGTCTGATATCAATTGTTTGGGTCAGCTTAACCACATGTATCAACTCGCCGAGTGACAGCTTGTCCTCTCCTGTCCTTCAAATGCACAAGCGAAGTCCATCCATATTCTATGGATCTAAGATGGCAAACGCTTGACAACAGGTACGCTATCTTGAACATCGAACACTGGATGTCGATAGTCTCCCATGCTCTGACAGATTGGCAAGGCTGCAGCTCTGGCCCGAGGGGCGCACAAATCAGGCTGTCTGAGTATTAATATGTCAAAGAAATTTGCAAGAAGTGACCCCAAGGGACGCGACTTCGGTATATACATAAAGCTCCTGTCTTTACGTTCGCGCGTGAGGATTTCAATAGCACCGAAACGAGTGCTCGAAGACTCAACTGTCACTAGAAACGGCATCGTTCCTGTGGGCCATTACTCGAAAACAGCGCTCAATGAGCCTGAGCATGTTGACGATATGCTCGGCGTTTACGTGCAGACATGATCCCATCACCCCGAAATTAATGAATCGACGGTGCCGGGAGACTTCATGTAATCGGTATCAGGTTGAACTACTCGTTGACACGTCAGTGGGAGGTCTAAAATGCTATGATTGTATATCGGAAACATATGCATAGCAATTCATTGGATAATGATATACTTATCTGACAGTCTGTATCCATTCCAAATAGTGTCTGTGAATGGTAAGTGTACGCTGGTATATGCAAAAATGATAAACAAGGAGTGTTACATATGTCCAATGTGTGGTGGTGTAGAACACAATATTTAGCAGAACAATCTTCGCCACCAAAGGACGAATCTCGTCCACCAGTCTCCACGCCACCCATCGCTGCGTGGCTTGGGACTGATCCACATCGACCCGGTGCCGAAGTGAATTTCTTTGCCTTCTCCTCTCTCTTCCTCGCCCTCCTCGATGTCGGCGGTACGAGCATTCAAAGGTACGGTGAAACGCGGCAGAGCGCAGCGGGTGATGAATGAAGGAAATACAGTTAGTAGTGATAACAACTCGGGATTTGGAAGATCCAGAGACGTCCAGATGCGCAAGTAATCCTCTGGATCTTCTGCGACGAATTCTGATCGAAGCGGGGGTAATAATTCGTCTTCTCCAAGTTGATCGTGTGGGGTAAGGGAACTGGGACAATCTTCGGGAGTGTCAGAAGAAGGGATGGTAGCGCCGGAGGATTGAGAAGACGCAGATGGGAGGGAATGTGAGAGGGCGGGCATATCTAAAAATGGGTCGCTTGTAGCTCTCGCGCGTTTTACCTGGGTAGTCATGGCGATTGGTGAAGCATACGAACCAGTCGTCTCGCGGTGAGCGGACAAAGGTTGTGAGCGGGAGCGCAAGTGCGCAGGCTGTGGCTGGTGAGACCCGCAATTGCTGTCGCGCTTTGAGGATGAAACTTCTTCAAAAGCCAACACCTGAACGGCCGGTTGAGTACATATCAACGATCAACGAACAACAACATACTCCTTTGAGAACATCGATAGCATCAAGCATGAAGTCTTTCCCACTATGCCGTGTGAGAAAGGTAAGTATTATGGATTTAGACACCAATGAATGCTTAGAATGCTTACGCAGACTCTTTGAAAACAGCGTCATCGAATTCCCAGCGTATTCGGTTCGCCCCCGCACCGCCAAGGGGCTCTGGGACAACTTGGAGCCGCAAAATTGCCCACAAAGCCTGAAAGAACGGTTTGGTTCCAGGCATGCCCATGGTGCACCAGGTCTTAACAAATTTATCTAATCGGTCGAAGCGTTCTTTCGCAGCTACTGGACCGCCTGGATTCGCTCTAGAATGCGGCATCAACGAACCACCAGGCTGAGTTGCGTTAATGTGTGCCTGAAATTCCGCGTGTCGACGAGCATTGACGCTCGCATGGTAAGCAGAGCGAATGGATGCCTGGAGGCGTGAAAATGGTGCTCGTTGAGCAGGAGGCAAATTTGCTAGTGTTTGGGTAACCAGTCGCCCAGACGCTTCATCTTGGTTGAAGTACCTAGTGACATGAAATATGATTAACAGGGCAATCGCTCGAGAACAAAGACATACCATGCACGACAAAGTTCGGCAAATTTCTCGAGCTCGCTGCGAGAGACTCCAAGAGGAGTGATCGATCGATTTCGAGAAGTAGGGGGCGGCGTTGGCCCAGGGCGACCATTTCTGCGCCCTCTGGGTCTGCCGCCAAATGAAGGAGAGGATGGCGGTATTACACCAGGTTTCGCAGCTGGACTTCCAGGAGGCGAAACTGCAGAATTCGAATGAGGAAGATCATAAAGGAGTGTTTGCGAATTTGAGTGCGCATTTGTCAATGAAGAATTTTGAGATTTCTGAAAGCGCAGAGGTGGTGGAGGACGTGGACGAGGAGTATTGAATTGGTAAGAGGGACCTGACATGTTTGACGATACGAAACCAGCTCGATTCGTCAAAAAATCTGTGCTAAGAAGTAGCTTGAATAGCCTCTTGAACTTTGACTTGAGCTTGGATGAACCACGCGCTCGAGATTAAGACAAGAGAGTGAGAACAAAAAATGTATCGCGATGCGACTAACTGATACAAGCTGGCAATGTAATTGACCCACAGAGCGCTAGATTGTTAGGCACAACCTACGTTGAACGGTGACAATGACAACGGCTGGACGACGGCCACGGCTGCGCTAAGTCGACTGCCAGCAAGCAAGGCAACTAATTCCCAAATTTCGGTCACCGCCACAACACCCCAATGTAGTAATGGGTGCTGGCAGCGGTCTGGCGACACCATCCTTCTTCTGACTGCACCATCCATCTGCTGCCAATGGAAGCTAAAACCCTGAACATTGGCCATCTTTTTGGCCGTGCGGTTTCCGCACCAAAATGTTGATCAACGCCGAGCTCTTGAGATCGACAGTTATGCATCTTAATGATCACTCCGATGTGGGCCGTGTTGCCTAGCCCTGTTACCTGACATTTGTTCAATCTTAGGAAGGTGATTTCGTCAACACGCCTGTATTTCCGTTCAATCACATCTTTAAATCACCCTTTGCATCACATCCTTCAAAGGGCGCTTTGTCACTTCACCGCCTCCTTCACCACCTGATCCGTTGGCTGCTGTCGGGCCGCCATTACAGTGGGGGATCACCTTGTCTGTCATGTGATCCCGTCTCAGCCCAGTACTTGGCATTCTCTTTGTACCTGCGTCCTTGCATTTCATCAACTGTCCAGTGCTCACACCTCAAATAAGATCTTGTAATTTACTCCGGCATTCACAATAGCATGTCAACTGCAAGGCGAACATGCGTTTGACACGGTGTTGATCAGTGCCTCTGATGCGACGCAGCCGATGTACAGCGCTCACTCGGACTGCGATACAGACGGTTTCATGTGCGTGATTGTTCCAAGCGATACGTCAAACCTCAGCACCTGATTTTCCAGGCACCCGGGCGTCTTTCCGGATTCAACGGCTGCCCGTGTATAGCCGTCCATGTTCGAGAAAATAACTCTCAATTTACATTGAAAAATCTTCTCACTTCACCCACCTCGCTCTCATTAACTTGTCAATCGTCATCTGCGCCTTTGTTTGCGACGACTGTTGGGATTTACGCTACTCTATCGGGACCAGCTTCTCTAACAGCATGTCAACCCTACCGCTTTCGAATCTCGTCATCAACCATTAATATTGGCTAAATGCATCGCTGACAATTCTTTGCGCGGTGTCCGAGGGGACCTGTACTAGTGCCCCTGTTAGGTCCCTTGTTGTGATGATGTTGGCAACTGCGTAAAGGGAAGCTGTGCAGGCTAGCCTCTTTGAAACGTCATGCTCGACACTATATCGTTCACGTAAGGCTGTCTAATGAGATGAAATGAGGGTGGTCTATATTCTTCGAACTTCACGATCGTAACCGCCCATCTGTTGATGATCCCTCCGGCAAGTCGCCAAGTGTCTACCCTGAACAAATGTTCCAATGTACAACTCCCGCGGGCCTGTTACTCACGTGCGGCGCCCCGTTTGATAGACTCGTTCATGTAAGGAAGGATGGTACGTATTGCTTAGACTGTGCCTTTGGCACTTTGGCATGTGCTAAGCACCTACGTCTTGGGATAACGACATTAGATACCTCTCTTTTCGGCCAAGCCATGGGTAAACAGGCCACATGGGCTAACAAGTCCTTACATGGCGAAAGCATAGCGGGGTTTAAAATGCAACGGAGTGTGAAATTATCTCTCAAACCTACTCCGCTAGCTGTTTAATTGCACGCCGGGGCAGGGCGCGCTTCACGCGTTAGGTCGCGAATTTATTTAATCTCCAAAAATTCTCAGAGAGATCGATGTAGACCTACTGTTTATGTATCCAGCTTCTTGCGCTACTTAGTTAACCGGCCGTCAGGTGCGATGCAAGCAAGGTACGTCGAAATCTTTGGTCTTGTCGACCGGCCGCCACCATGCAATGAGCTCGCAACAAATAAAATAAAATAAAAGTGCCCGGACAAACGACTCCTTTAGGTATCGAGGCAGCGTGGTCGCGCTGCAAAGAAGCCAACGACTTTTAGCAAGTGCCAGCTTATTATCTTTTCCCTACAAGTTGAACCAGTTTAATGGTTCCGCTACTTATCTTGTTCACACCCCATTCGATGCAGAATTTTTTACTTTGATTATTGCTTCCGTTTGTATGCCTTACTTACAGAGACTCAGGTATTGATTCTTGCCGTGAGCTTATCTCGATCTCAGGAATGATCATAAGGTGGACACCGTGGACGGGGACAGTTGATAATACAAAACTCATCTGCGTAGAACCGGACAAGTAATAGAACAAAGTGATGGAATAAAAAAGATCGACTGGGTAAAACATTATTATTCTAAAATTTCCTTACACGTGGATATCCATTTAGAAGATGACCCAGAGTGACTCTTGTAACTTATTTCTGCACACAAAACCTACCCCTGCCTCGTGAGGGTCGTACGTACTTGACTTCCGCAAAGCCGCTACAATAAGCCAAATTAGTAAGGGTTTGAGGAAAAGGTAAATAACCGTGACCGTGGATCTTGGAGATGCGATCACACATTAATATTGACGGGGTGTCATGGCAAAAGGGCAGTATGACGAGCATTTGTATGTCTGGACGTTGAATGTTGAAGTATGTTAATTGTGCGCAATCAAGCCTCTGTAGTATTAATGTTGACGACGTGTGGGACACACCTACGGCCTATTAAAGTCTACTAGTGGGAGGCCTGACCATGGCGGATTTCAAAAAATACGCCGCGATGTATGTTCGAATTGTTACGGTCTACACAATATCAGGATGTCTTAACCGATGTCAAACTGTCGAACTTTTACAGACTTACTTTGTTCTGAAAAACCTTGGGTGAAGTTCAGCCCTAGTAGAGACTGCGGTGTCACTGCGTGACTGACATCTATTTCGGGCGTGCAAAGTGGTTGATTGTTGTACGGCCGACATTTACGTTGATCCTTGAAGCTTTGGTGAAGAGGGCCTTGATTGGTGGAGAGGGACCGAACGTCACATTGCAGGGACGGTAAGACTCTGACTATCACCAATTGGGGGAAGCGCCGCATCTGGGCATAGTCGACTGGCTCCAAGATTTGGGACGACGAGCTATTCCTACAACAAGCGTCTATCCTGGTCTATCACGGCAACCAAGAATGAGATCGTGTTGATGGAACTGCCATACGTACCTCTTGACGGGTGTAACCGAACGACTTTCAAAATAGGTGACATCCGAAAACGAAGATTGGTTGGGTAAGATGGGTGCAGTATTTCCGCCGCGTGCGATACTTGAAGAGTTAATGCCACAAGGTCGAGAGAGATCCGATCGGATGAAACAGATGAGATTTCGGAGCGGGTAGACTGCCAGAAATATGCCAGCGCGCCGATAGGTCGAACTTGAAGAAGATGGACTTGGGTAGGCACGAGAAGGCAACGATAGATCGAGATCATTCATTGTTTGGGCAAGTCGAATCATTCAGAACGCAGTGATAGCAAAGAAACACGGAACCTTTTTTTCATGAATCAGGTCGGCCGCGGTATTTCGCGAAATGTCTTTCGTGAAATGGAAATGTTGCCTTGCCGCAATTAGAGTTCTATGTCAGCCTAAGAGATCTATAAAAGCAACGGCGCACCGTGCTGATATGAACCTTTTGTTGCACCTTCCAGTTTCGAGCTCGTCTCTGCCGTTACTAGACGTCACGGTATCCCTTAAAGCTCGCGGGCCGTCGCCTACACTCACCGTTCCACATATTGCCGGCAACGTACAAAGCCTTAACAACGTTGCTTACCTCGCGCTTCCTAACCTAACCTTGGTGGTCTGTTGTTTGTCATTATAAATTTGACATTCATATCTGTTGGACCATCATCATCATCATTGTATCAACCAGCCAGCCAACCAACCAACCACGGGTAACCGCAACCGTCCGATTATAGAGTCACGTCTAGAAAAGATAGAGATCAGTAGAACGAAGAACAGGTTAGTTGCTTCACTACAAAGTGATTTTGATATGCTGACGGAACTCCATCATCAAGATCGTAATTGCCAAGGACCGTCAAGTTTACAGCATTACCGATAAGCTTGATAAAAACTACCTGTACGGACCCGTTCATAAGTCTTCATATTTTTATGGCTCAATCTGCCACTTGGGTTTCCGTGATGACAGCGGCAATTCCCGACGACCGATCACAGCTTGTTCAGGCTTCCCTGTCTGACGAAACATCATCAGCTGCCTTTCGCTTTCCTTCTATCCGCCATTCTTTCAATAATCAAACTCCTCCTTCTCATTTCGATACCACAACCATACCCCGTCCAGGAGCGATGGACTTTGCAACAGCTTCACATCAGCCAATGTACAACCAGGCTGACCTCGATCAAGCATTTAACTCATTGCAGACAGTAGACAACGCCTCTCCATCTCATCATTTGTCTCAAACAATTCCTCAACATAACTTTGATCATTCAGATTCTCGAGAGGTCTCAGATCATCCCTCATATGATCTCTTTTCAAACAATAATAACAATTTTGCCTCTCAGCGGTACCGCGCCAATTCTTCTTCTTCTTCGTCTCTTGGCCCTCCTTACGCTATGAGCCCGGACGGAGTATACTCTCATGCCTCCTTTGGCGACTCCGTTCCATCATTTGGCTCCAGCAATACTTACGACATGATGAGCAACGTCTCGTACTCGAGTGGGAAGGTTTCTCCATTGACCCCCAATGACGCCATGACTGGCATACAGCAATCTCCGGTCTTCCCCCACTCTTTGGGCATAAACGGACACCAGAAGGACTTTTCGAACGGCCACGCATATCCGGAACTTCTCAACGATCGCCGTGTTTCAGGTGTCGGCGGCGCTGGTTATCACAATGACTTCTCCGATGATTATGGCATTAACGGCGGTGCAGGCTATCCTCCATCGGCCCTTCAACCATTCCAAGATCGCATGCGCTTGCAACCTGACAGTCGTTTTCCCCATTCTGGCCTACCTCCTTCTGTCCCTTCGCATATGGGACACAGCCCTGATATGTTCCGTGGCGTGGCCCCGCAAGCAACGCACTCGTTCCGCCCTGACTCTGGCCTTCCTGGCTACGATGACGTGCAATATTTTGGAAACCCCCATGCCGACATGTCCCTCCGCATGCCCAGTATTGGGGATGGCTTTCCTGGGATGAGAAACGGGCATCCTGGCATGGGCTCCTCCAACGACCTTCAGGCTTTCATTCGGTAAACATTATTACGTTAAATACACCTTCTCAATCTAATGCCTTCACTATTTAGACCCTACCTCGATCAGTACGTACGAACGCCAAACCGCCTCGCGTTTGGTGAACGCACGGTCATTGTCATGTCGAGCAGGGTGGCTCAAAAATCATACGGCACTGAGAAACGCTTCCTCTGCCCCCCTCCAACTGCAATCATGATTGGGAACTCTTGGTGGACTGACGTGGTACGCCGCGGGGAAGAGCCAAAACTTTGCCCTCCTCGTGTGACTGTCTGCATATCGGGTGAACCTGTCCCTCAAGAGGGTTCCATCGAGTGGACGTCCGCCTCCGGCAAGATCTTTGATGTAAATGATGCCCCTACAGGCACAACATACATTGGTCGCTGCGTTGGAAAGCAGTTGTTCATCAGTGATGTAGACGAGAAGAAGAAAAAAGTCGAAGCGCTTGTAAAGATCACTGCTCCGTCTTCTGACGATGAGCCTGAACGCGTTATCGGTACTTTCCCGAGCCGTCCTATCAAAGTGATCAGCAAGCCAAGTAAGAAGAGACAGAGTGCAAAGAATCTCGAGCGTGCGTAGACTCACTGTGGTTCACGATGATTCTTGACCGTGATTCTCAGTATGTATAAACCATGGTTCAACAATTTCACTCTTCCATCGCTTGCGGTCTCAGACCGTCTCGACGAAATACCTCTGCGTCTCCGGTTCAGGTTCTTCTTTCAAGGGTTCTGACGGTGCCCCTTTGATGGGGATCGATACCCGTGCGCGATCCAGCACTCCATCATTCATTGCCCGTACTGCAAGCTGGGGTCAGTTTTTCGTCTACACTTTTTTTTTGCCCTCGCTGATGTTTTCATCTTAGATCCGTTTGTGATGTACATTGTCGATGTCAACAAACCAGCTGGCGGAATTGATACCCCTCCCCCACCACCCCCACAGCCTGACTATCCTTCACCTCCACCAAATGCCATTCCTTTCACCAACAACGGCAGCCAAATACCAATCTATTACAACCAGACAGTGGTGCTACAGTGTCTGGTCTCGGGCGTTGTGTCTCCCGTCTTGATTATCCGGAAAGTTGATCATCAGACGACAGTAGTTGGAGGAGGCCTTCAGGAAGGCGCAAAGGGCGTTGCAGACCACTATTGCTCACCAGGCGAAGTGTGTGGTGACCCAGTCTCCCAGCTTCACAAGATCGCCTTCGAAGTCTATGACTCAACAAAGGGCATGCCTGAGCCTGGAACCCCCGGTACAACGGGCGCGTTCTTGTCGTGCATGGGTGAAAAGGTTAATACCTACCGTCCAATTGAGGGTCGGCTGTGGAACAACCCGCCGAATGCAGGGTCGACATCCCCTATTTTGCCTGGATCACCTGTAGTTTCAACACCAGCGTCCATGTCAGGTGCCGATTATTTCGGGCAAGCCACTGCAAGCGAGCCAGCATCGCCGTCTTCATCAAATGATTTTTCAAATGACGGCGGGCGCGTGAAGAAGGGGAAACGTTCAACATCAAGTGCCGGTGTTATTAAGAACCCAGGCCCAAAAGGGCGGCGGCGCCCGACCTCCGCCGGGTCTGCGTCTTCTGGGCGTCGCGGATCTACTAGTGACGCCGGCGCATCATCGGGTGCTCTTTGGCAAGTGGATATCGGCGAGACGAGCGTCTGGACTATTGTCGGCACAGGTACTACGTAATTTTCCATCCCCAATGGGTCAATGACTAAACTATGATTTGTCAGATCAAGTGCGATACAACTTCTATGTACCGCCCGTATTGTTCGACAACCAAAACGCCCCTCAAACAGGATCATTCCCAATCCCATCGAAACCCGTTACTCCATTCCCGGGTGTGGTGAAATATCTTCCTCCTGACCGTGCTGCGGAGGCACCAAAGTCTAACTGCGCACAATCGCGTGGCGTCTTGTCGAAACCTAATCCCCACATATCAAAAATGTTGACTGTATACGGAGAAAACTTCAACAAGGCAGATCCAGTACACATCTTTTTCGGATCAGACCCATCGCCATATGCCGAGGTGAGGTGCACTGAGGTGTTGGGCTGCCTACCTCCAGAAAACCAAGTTGCGAAACGCCGTCCGATCATCATGATACGGCCGGATGGTGTCGTGTTCCCGTCACCTGTCATGTTCCCTTGATTGTATTTATCGGTATATCTGGTGCTCGTTCGTGGCCTGGTCTGCCTGCTTGGATATATCCCTATAATTCCGCCATTCCCAATGCTTTGAACATGTTAGGATCTGATAGTTGCTATCTGTACACCATGGACCCAACTAAATCCCAGCGCGAGACAGTACTATGTAGCCCCCCCTGTATCATATCTGTTAGAAGAATTTCGATTTGATGTTTCTATCTCCTGTCTGTCGCCCATCATGATCTTCTTGGTCGATACGGCAAAGACCGTGAAACTGCTTTGTTCTTTAGGCTTGTTACAGTCATCATCTCAGTTTCTCCTTATCAGATCTGAGCACCGAGTTCGCCAAGTTTTGTACGTTACATTCCATCATATCAACATATTTGACAGCGGTACGCCCACCTATCATCGCCCTACACGCGAACGGACTCGTCGTATCGGGTGCAAAAACGCTATCTACTAATCACGCGGGTGTTCCAAAATTCATGCGCAATCAAAAATCGTTGTATCGGGTCCAAAATACCATCTAAATCACTCTTTAGCGGGCGTAACTTGCAGCTTGCCAGCATTCTTTTTGCATATTCGTGCAAGCGAGGTGCTCCAAATCCCTTCACCCTCCCGCAGCGCACTTTGATCCAGAATGGGTCCCCAATACAGCTCGCACCTCTCGTTCTCTTCCACACCTCGTCTCCTATGGCATGCATACATCAAATATCTATGGAACCCGCATCCTGGCTCCTGGGTCAGTCAGGTCGCATATTCATTCCGCATATTAGCGTTCCTGCTTATTCTGCCAGTCGTGATTCTGACACTGCTGGTGCGTATCTAACCTTGCCAAATTTGTAGATCCTCGCTTCTTCAATTATTGATCTGATTCCTCACCAGGATATCACCTCCTATGTGATCGCACGTACCCTCGGCATTGTTGACGATGTCAAAGCGTCAACAAGCGACCAGCCTGTTGTGACTGCTGAGGGCACGCCCTCGATCCTTGTTGAAGATACGTCATCCGAGGAATCGTTCCCCGCGGAGCAAGACAGCTACATATCTTCGGTTCATCGGCAATATAATACCGACATGAGGAGTGCGGAAGTACAGGAAGAAACGAAGCTCCAGGCTTACTTCACGGGAGAGGAGGATCTACAGTTGTCTAGCGTTGGTGTTCTCTCGCCTTACCCGTCTCAACCAGTCATCACCAGTCCACGAGAACCTGCCTGAAGATGGAGCGATGAGAATGGAAGGTCCACGTGATGTACAGGATGAGGCCATGATCCTACGCCGACGGGGCGCCCAAACGCAAAGTGATGATTAAATCAGCCTTTTTAGAATCGCCGCTAGAACTACATTTTTTGCACCGTGTACGATGACATGATACCGATCAACGTCCCTTTTTACTCTACAGCTACAGTAATATTATTATCGATCAGGAAAACAAACACGCAAAAGAAACTGGCCAGAGGTGAGGTGAGGTGATCAGTAAAACCGTAGCTGATCCCTGGTGAAGACAGGTGGCTTCCAGATCAAATTATCGGCATAAATCCGACGCCTGCGTTTGTTTCGCACTTTTTCATGTTTCTCCAAAACGGCTTCCGAGAGACAAATGATATGTTGTCCTTTGTAGTGTTTAAATAGCTGCAACGTTGTGCACCTGCAAGCAATTCATTTAGCGTTACATCCCAGAGATCAGGTTCTTTCACACACGTATTCATTATATCCGCATGGGTGATAGACGTCTTCTGTGCAATATCGTCAATGCTCAGCTCATCTGTCGTATTGATGAGTAATTCCACGATGACCTCCGCCCAATATGCACGGTAGCTGAGTAGGCCCAGATCGCTCAGGGGTTTTTCAGGGCTGCCAAGTTTCCCCTCTTTCTTACTCAACTCGTAAGAAAATTCGATGAGCAACTTGCCAAAGCCGTAGCGCTGATGCTGTGGTAGCGTCAAGATACATGCGACGTTGTAATTCTCCGCTGACTCCTTCTCTTTCGAGAAGTAGCCGATAATGTGGCAGCCTGTGGAATCTCGTAGACACTGGGATTACGGTCGGTATAAGATAAACACAGAATAACACTGTACACACCATGACATAATACATGAACGGTGTCACGTCATAGTACAACGTCTTGCTATAAGGAATAGTGAGATATTTGAGCTTCGTTGCCGAGAAGGACTCACTGATCTAGAAAACATTTGGACAATAAACTGAGGTTCCGACACCAGCTTAATTGCCGCTTCCCATCAAGTTCGAAGACCGAAATGTCTTGGTGGCGGTAGATCTCGTTGCCAGGTGGATGAAATAGTGTACAACGTTGTCGGTGGCGCGAGAGCATCATGGGCGACGGAAAGTATGCGAGACAGAACTCGCAGATGTACAACACGGGTAGATGCGCATATTCCTTTGGATATGGACTGAAGTACCACGCTTCAACCTCGTGTTTGCCGATCTGCAAACGGTTTAGATTCTTCACTCGCGCGATTTCTGATATTGACTGGGTCATCGAACCGGATGTTCGCAGTTTCTCGATTTCTTGTTCTTTGCTGAATGAAGAGATGGAAGGGGGCGTCTCTACTTGTGCACCATTGACGTTAAGTTCGAAGGTGTCCCCTTCGCCATCGACATCCATCTCGCCTTCGGCGTCTACGTCATCTCCTTCCATTTCTTCTTCTTCTTCTTCCTCTTCATCATCGGTTAACTTCCGCTTCAATGATGGGGCAGGTGATGGCGAGGGAAAAGCAGAGCGGCCAGGGGTTGAGGCAGATGTGGGTGAAGCAGCCGCAGCAGCATTTGATGTCGCTTTCTTCAATAGTGACTGGGAGCGAGGGGCCTTTCCCGGAGCTTTTTGTAGTGAGCCAGGTCCAGCTTTCTTGCCCGGTGGCAGCTTTGGACGGGGCCACTCGAGGTCTCTGCTCAAGATAAGCCGAGATCCCGTCACCCACTCATCCAAACGCTTGTTAAACTGATCCCAGTGGACAAAATACTCCCACTTGTCCTCTGGTTTGTCGAGCGCATCTTCTTCTTCCTCTTTCACACCACCTCGGGAACTTGTACGTTGTGCTAACGCTGAAGTATACGAGTTCACGGGTTTGTCACGAATTGATAGTATTTCTGCAAGCCGCTCTTCCTCCCCGTCTGGGGTTGGACGGCGGATGTAGATTTTGCACCCAACAGAGACAGTCTGCGGAAAAAAATTGATGAGTCAGCACCTTGGAGGTCTGTGTGAACTGAAGCTGCGGAAATTTACTTGGATGGTGTACGTCCCCCCAGGTGTGATGGATGCTGACTCCTGTGAGCCTTCATTGTTGGCATGCGCAGAGACCATTCTCGAGCAAAAACGGCGGCGAAAACTGAGTGCTAAGGGACAAAAACAGATTTTGCGTCGCTCGTGTCGACTTACCGAGTCATGAGGGGGAAGTTGAATTTCGCTTACTCAGCTCACAGCACAGCAACCTTTGCTTCCATAGAAGTATTTCACCACAGAGGCCGAATGTTTAATTATGAACAAAGACGATGCTAGACAACGGCGCTCAAGTCTATAGGCTACGGTTCCTAGAAACTGCCTCCCGTTGATACCATAAGAGGCCTCAACTTGAACACCTGGAATTTAAATAGTCTAGTTTGCAGCGTGTTTCGACCACTCCGCTTTTTAGACATCGACTGCCAGGGGGCACTCTCCAAGTTAGTTCCAAGTGCATAAGTCAGCATCAGCGCATTCGGATCATTAATGCTAAAAGCACAACAATTCAAAAGCCGTGCAACCGGCGCTGCGCGATTCTTCGTCGAACGCATAATTCCGTCGAGTGCGCGCGGCGTCAAGTGGTCTATTAAGATCTGATTCTCTATGAGATCGCCGTCCCTACCTAGACCCGCCTGATGATGATGAAGTCTGAGCTCATTTTCGGGAGTTCAAAAGCTGTGGTAGCCGCAGCGACTCGGAAACTCGCACCTTCGGAAAGACATATAACCCTTGGCCGCGGTGTAAAAGTCTGAATCCTGCTGGTGATAATTAGCGGCAGGGTAAGCATTCTCCTCGTACCCGACAAATTCTGATTTGAATGACGATAATGGAGCTTACCGATTTCCACCGAGTAAATCTCGCAGAAGTCTCGGAAGTAAACTATATAAACTTACCGCAATTGACATGTCATCTCGACTGACGGCACCGCAGAACATGAGGACGCGAAGTAGAGAGAATTTCCGAGCTGTCGCTCCTGTAATGCTCTAAGTGCCGATCAATACGCAATGGCTAGGCTCTGATGGCGCAGCGGAAGGGCCTAGTGACTGAAACGGTTCGACTTTGATTACATACCTCGTGATGGGACGGCATTGAGCTTTGTTACGTCTGTGGACATAAGGCTATCGCTCAGGGAATCGAATAGACCAATTTATTTCTGTCATTGTATTTCATCGCTCCTGAGCTGCAAGAACAAGCAGAAGGTCCTGACCAGAAATACGTGATATGCAGGTTAGACCCGTGTTATACCCTTTGGATATGTGCGGCACTCTTTTTCGCAGAGCTTTGAGAATGGCAGTGCACAACAGAGCGCATTCGCAACCGCAATTAAGATATTAATGTGTTTTTTGCAGAAGAACGGAGGAAATAAAACGGGGTTGGGAGGGTACAAGTCTTCGTCGATGCAGAGGCCATTGATACGATGACGACAAAGGGGAGCGCTCATGAGTCATAATGAAGGGTCATGGAAGGTTATGGTGACGAAGAAGGTTCGATCCATGCGACTAGTAGGCGCCACGACGCCAACGCCGCCAACAACGTGGCGAGGGGTGTGAGGGGTGTGGCCCTGATGCCTCCGGCTCGGATACCTGATTCGGAGGACAGGGTCGGAGACATCCCCGCTTGGCCATTGCCAGTTGGTGTAACCTTAAACGTCGTAGCTTGATAGGGCTTGACTCGTTTTGTCCTGGGAATCGAGTGTGCTGTCAATGGCATTCGATTACATAGCTTGTGATTAAACTGCCGAGAAATCTTTAGATCTGCAAATTAGAAAATTTCAAATACAGGCCTTTCATGCTATCAGTACTAGATGATCCTACATATTTAGATATTTGCTCTGCTAGCAAGAACGAGGAAATTTGTGCGCCGTTAGTGGTAAATATTAGCCCCACTTAGATTGTTACTAGGGCCTGCGGCTTGTCTCCCCCGACGGACTTTGTGGGGAGTGGGGCGAAGCATGGCTGTATATACATTGCATGAAGTATACCTGGTGTAGCCTCTTATTTGATCACATACATAAGCGGTGACGATTTTTAAGACGCACGGAGTACCAGGTGTTCAGATAGAGTTCACGTGGCGACCAGTAGAGAGATACTAAAGTTGTAGACTTGTTCATCATGACGAAGTGGCATTGTAACGCGGCGTTTCTGGCAGGACAGATCGGGTCGGGAGTGCCAAGGGGCCTGGCGCAGTAGCAGGAGTTCTGGCTCGAAGTCGGTAGTCCTGTTGTATGTTGTAGTTGGTCCTCGATAGATAGAGCCGTAGCCTCCCGCTATAGAGGTTTGGCCTTGGGTTTCCCTTGCAGTCCGTGCCCGTTCCAGCATCTAACGAATGAAAGAAACGCAGGTTCGTGAGTTGCAAATAGTTGGCCAGAGCCGTAGAACCAGAGAAAAAAATGCCACGAGATCGACTTCTCACATCTGTGTACTTTGTGAGAATCCCTTTCTTCCACATTAGCGACTGAGTGAAGAATAATAAACCTGGCGCAAGAAGGTCACGCACCTGGGAGCATACCGGTCTTCGAAGAGCTTCCCATTTGATGGGTTTAATGAGAGCGGTATTCAGACGCGATCTCAACGCCAGCACGCATGGTGATATGTGCCCACTGCTGGCGGCATCCCCTAGATGCGATTGCAACGCTCTTGTGTGGGGGACGCGAAGGAGTGGTCGTACGATAAAGGCGATCAAATGTTCCTTCTATCAGAGATCTACGACAATACCAAGGGCGACACACCAAGTCTGACTCGCTGCATGACTGGAGGAATGATTCAGGATTCAGGCTAGTGCGAGTTGGCAATAAGCAAGACCCGTCATGGCAGTATGCATCGGGCCAGCTCATTAAAGCTCCGCGCAGACTCGGAGCCGTAAATGCATTCCGATACCTGAATCGATTTGCAGGCCTGTAACATGGTCAGATCGATTAGTATCGAGCGGGCAAAACGGCCTGCGGCAATCATGAACGTTCTGAATTGATATCAGCCTGAGCTCGAGAGATATGACGAACTTGAAATAGCACTACTTTGACCTACAGCTCCAATCAGCAGGAGCAGAGAGAATGTCTTTATACAAGGCCGCCTAAGGTTGGCCTAAGGCTCACAGATGTGGCAACTTGAAGATGAGCAGCAGTAGATGACAAAGCCCCGGGTTACATAAAATGTTCCTATCGCAATGTAGTTGTCAGCATTTCCAGCGTCGTTTTCATCCCACCCACCATCTCCTCCCAACGACGTCGACAATGGAGCCAGAGTGCGACGAGCTTAAACAAACACCAGTGGTAGAACTCGATCAAGGAACACAAATTCGATTTCGGAGACAGCCATAAACGGCACAGGCGCGGGTAGTACAAACTATGTGGAATAAACTACTGACCACTGCAAGCACACGCGTAGAAGTAAGATGAGTGAAGCAAAGTAAAAATTGGACGTCTACGGTACACTGCGCCTCCACAACCTATTGCTGTCTTGTCATTGAAGTCATTTTACAGAACAAAACAACTTGAACAGTTCTGCTCCCTCACTCTTTGGAGGCAGTGTCATCCTTCTTCTCCGCCTCAGCCGTCGCTGGCTGAGGCTGCGCTTGTGTTGGTGGCTGCTGCTGGGGCTGGGAGGGCATGAGATGTGAGAGTAAACCCTGTGGAATCTGGGAGTACACCTCGTCGAGCTGTTGACGGAGGTGCGTGTTTTCCTCGCGGAGATGTGTGATGTCATCGCGGAGTCTGTCATTAAGCGCTCGACATTCCTCCCATCGACGATTCGCCTCATCTGCGGACGCAAGTGCTGCATCCAGTAGTTGAGAACGCGACTCGAGGGCTTTAACGTGCCTATAATGAAGGTGAGTCAGATCGGCACAATGCGTTTAAGGGATGAAAGCAAGAAAGAAGTGAGACTATACCCTTTTTGAGAGCAGAATGGGAAAGAAAAAAGAAAAAAGGCAAGGATGAGAAACATGCACTTACTGATCCCTACGTTCCCTGAACGCTCTCTGCGCCTTCCTATTTTGCTCTGCCCGCTTGGTCTGACTCAATGGACGACCATTGGCCTTTGAGTCATCAGGACCACCAGGCTGACCCTCAATCTGTGGGGAAGGTTGTTCACCCGGGGGCGGGTGGGGTGGAGGTCCACCGAACTCGGGCCCCGGAGGGCCAGAGAAATAAATGGGCATGGGCGATGGATGGTGTCCATGCGGGGGTGGTAACATTGGAGGAAGAAATATGCCAGGCGGAGGCTGCTGGAGCTGCTGTGGTGGCGGCGGCGGCGGCTGGGTGGTTGTTGTTGGGGGAGATTTACGTTTGCGAGAACGGGTTGTTGCAGCTGGGGCGGCTGGCTGTGCGGGTGCCTGAGATGTGGAAGGTTGGGGCGGCAGTGGGTCGTCGCGGAGACGCATTGCAGGAATAGCCTGTGGAGTTTGTTGCTGTTGCTGTTGAGGTTGCTGCTGCTGCTGCAGAGCCTCAGACTGCTGACCTTGCTGCTGGCCCGGAGGAGGGTAACCGTGTAGCATTAGCAATGATCGCTGGTATATTATATTTGTCTTAATAAAAGGTGCAGTGAATTGATATGTTTTTGGATGCTAGGGGGATGTTTTCGCTGATCGACTTTCAACGACGGTCGCGTTGAGGAGGCGCGAGTATTAGTAAGAAAATCAGATGGTGGGAGTTTGTTTTTGTTTGTAATGGGTGTTTCCCACCCATAATGTCTCGATTAGGAAATTATATGCTCGCCTCAGTTTTTTGACCACCGCCTGCGGCAGTATTACGTGCGCTCGCATTCCGCGTGTATGAGCTGAACGTCGCGGCCATCGATATTTGATAGTTCGAAGTGCACCTGTCGATCATAGAGAAGTTGGACAACGAAGATCCCTAGATTTAACGGGAAATGTCGAAGCAATGATAATCAGTTTATCGCGACGGAAGAGGCCGATTCCACGGGGAGTCGAAGGCAATGCAGTCCTTCTGTTCTAGTTCCAGCGCTCCGATCGCCGAGCATGCGCAATCTGTCAGCAGGATGTGTGTTCTCGTGATGATGAGATGAGGGGTTGGGTGAGACGGTTGACCAAGCGCGACGCAGCTCTCAATTTTATGTAAGGTGTCTTTGTCATGTGCTGACCATTCTCCTTGGATAAGCAGCTCAAGCCACGTTCAACTATGCAGCTGCGCTACGAGCACACTTCTTTGTGTAATGTTCTGTCTGTTTTCTGCATCTAATGACATTTACCAGGCTGGACGACGCACAGTGGAGTACTTAGTCGGCGAGCCCTCGAGCGCGGTCCGGTGTATCGTGAAGTCTTAGCGCTGAGCCGGAGCAGTGCTTGTAAATGGCCGGGTATGCAGATCAGTTAATGCAGGAATTTCAATTCACGCAGGGCGGCATCGACCGGGAGCATATGCATCAGTATGTCCGCTCTTGATAGAGCAACTTCTTTCACCGCGTCGTATTTTCAGATTCGCGAATAATGCAGGCACATATTCTAGGCATGTTTTACCAATGTGGAAGCCTACTCCGTCATTAAATTGTTCCTTCACGAGAATGATGTTGTTCACGTTCTCCGACGAGATGACTCGAAGAGCCTAATCTGTCAACGAATATGGGACCCACCATTTGATCATGACACACTCATCATGTTACAGTACTGTTTCATCTGCAATAAAGCCGTCAACTCGTATTTTTTTTCGCGATTCGTCTTATGCAATATTAGAAGACTGCATCCACCATGGTGGTCACTGTATGATGAGCAGCGCACTAGGACCCCTTGTCATGTTAGATCAGCATGACCAGTTCTTTGGGGACTCGCCATTTCTTATTTTCCCCACCGAGGTGTTGGTAATATTTTCTCATTCATCGACGCCTTTGCGCTCACTCATAGCAAAAACTTCTAGTGCCGAACGTCGTATCGTCCTCAGTGATCATCTTGTCAGCCGAACCTTCAGTTGCAACGCGTCGCAAACCCATAAAACTTCCAAGCAATCTAAATAAAACTGTTCTCCGGGAATTATTGGACTGGTTTGAACGCTTAATCAAGTTTTGTCGACTAGACCACACAATCAACAATGATTTCTAAAATGATGGCGTTGTCTAGGGTCATACGATTGAAGGCATAGCTGAAAGATCTTGTCACATCTTCGATCAATTGTGAGTTCGTGTTTTGTCTGAGGGTAATTTATCGTTGTTAACTTATTCCTGTCACATTGCCCTGAATTACGTGTATGAAATCGCCTCCATGTTTCTGTCCAGCACCTGTTTCTGGGGATTAGTACGACAGGCAATTTGTGATCGCGCCACACAGCTATCGAAGACTCACTTTAGAAATTACGTCTTGACCCTACCAAGCTTGTCTGGGACGGGGATGTTGAAAGACTTTCCCAAGTAAGTATGAATGCCTCACTTGTCCGCATGTCCGATCAGCTGTGATCATGCCAGAGTTGTGCCACGACGGTTTTGGTCCCACCCAGCAAGTGTTCTGATCATCAATATTTATGGAGACCTTGTTCTATGGCCTTACGCTGGCCCGTCTGGAATGTCCAATCCATCCGTCAGGCTCGAACCCTCCAAAGATATGTTCCCACTATCTGTCGCAGATATCCTGAGCGGCCTCAATTCAAACTTACCTCGTCCTGGCATGTAGCTCCATGTGACCCTGACCAGCGTAATCCAATCGAGACTAGGTCTTCCGTGTACACGACATCAAGCTGTTCCAGGTGTTCAGTATCACTTACGTTGCGCTGATAGCTGCTAATCCGAACTCAAAAGACGAGTGCTCCTTGGATACGCCCACCCTTTGATACTTGGCTGTATCTGTCCTCACGCACATCCCCACAGACGGGACGTCTAGGGACTCCCTGCCGCGTAATTACTCGACGAACCACTGGGACGCCGATGGAGTAAAGCGGCAGCAGCGCTTGTGCATCAGAACCTATAGACTTCTACCCGCCCTTAGGCCATCGTATCTTCAGCACTACAGCCCCCTGGTTCCGAACTAGGTGAATGATACCCGCCGGGAGCTGTTCTTGCTACACTCCTGTCTTGTGTTTCATGGTTCGGACATGCGGGCGCATTTTTGTGCGAAACAATGTCTCTCAGGTCACTGCGTTTGTCCTGATGGTTCGTCGATGGCGCTTGGAAGGCTTAATGCGCGTTAGGATTCAAGTAGACCTTGCGCGACTCGGGCCGAGGAATATATGCTGGAAGAAAATTGATCGAGTGTTGTCCCGCCATTAACCAATCTCTCACTCTTCATCATGGCTGCATCGGCCGTGGACGGGCTCAGAAACCGGGGTCCCCGCAGGTCGTCCCTGTTGAGGCGCCAGGACCTTCGGCACTCCTACGCATCTTTCTTTTCTCTTCTCACCTCTCACTCGCCCTCGTTCAGGTGACCTATTCACTTGCTATGCAGTGGTGACATTTCCACAATTCCGCGCTTGCGAACCCCAGAGCATGTCCATTTGCTCGCTCTCCGAGTTCCATTTAGTCAATGAACTGCATCCGGTAGACTCATGGATCGGTTATAGAGATGATGTTGCACTTACTCCGATTCACTCCGAGTATCCCACTACGGACTTGGCTGCCGATAACCCATTTGAGTTTTCGCTCCATACCTGCTCTATGTGGCGCTTTACATCGTTGCCATCCGATTAGCTTTCGTCAATCTGCGCACAACACTTTTCAGTCTTGTTGCGGTACTTAGCTTTGGTATCTGGGAATCCTGGCAATTTGAAACTTTAGCACCCCGTCTCTCTTCAAGAGACTGGTTGGTCAGCTGAAGGCTTAGACCTTACCCTTTAGTCTCCAATCTTGATCCCTCGAGACGGCCATGCGCCAAGTCAAGCATACCCAACCCAGTGGCACTTTTTATGCCTGGCTTCTAAACCTGATACCCGCATTCCCTTCCTGAGCACTTAGATGCTACAGACCCCTAGACGTATGCCTAGGTTTACTAACATTAACTTCCCATGCTATGATCTGCGCCACTGTGCTTTGCTCACGGATTGCATTGTGCTTGAGCTCTATAGAAAGATCCCTGTCGCATCTGAAACAGCTCCACTTTTGTGACCATAGACGTTTATAATCTATCTTTGCAAAGGATTCTGGTCGCGGTGAAGGACGTGTCTCATTCCTTGTGTAACACCCACCAGTCATTGATCACCACAGTATCAAGAACCTTTCATATTTCCTCCAGATGTGGTACATACAACTTTGACTTCATGAATTCTCTTGGACACAAGAAGAGGGGCCGTTACACCCTTTTACTATTTCTTCAGCAACACGAGTAAAATCCCAGCCGCTCGAGGAAAGAGATGGTATAGAAACCCAGGGTCATCATCTGCAATGTACTTCGCCCCAGCCCAATTCAACCGAAGATGCTTCTTGTCAAGAATATAGGTGAGTGCGTCCATTTTCATTTGCTCTTGAGTGCTAATGGAATAGTTGCCTTTCGTATAACCCACAGCACCTAAAACAATATTTTCGAGAGCTCTGGAATTACTGGGCACATTCGACTGGTGCTGTTCGCTGAACAATTTATGTCATAGATGAATACTCAGATGTGTCACAGCAAGGTAATGTCCGCAAGTACAATAACGCCGTCTTATGAGAGTTGCGCCCCAAAGAAAAATGGGTCGATGGGGAAATCGCTCGCCAGTGAGTGCTTCGCTATCTAATATGTAGCATTGGGACTTATCCCACTGACAGATTCTGGGAGCGCACCATACGTGATGCTAGCGTGCAGTCAAAGAAGCAGTTCATTGCGGTAATGGTGAGGTTTCTAGAAGGCGTGGTGCAGCAGGCCATGCCATTGACCGAAGCGGTCATTGTATCCGTGTCAATCGTCATGCGCCGCAAGACCGTCGAAATGACGCCTTAGAAGCTGGGCCTGGATGTTTAGATTTGACGAAACGACGACGACGTGCGACGACGCGCACAAGAGCATTCATCACCAGGCTGAATTTCCAAAGACTTCGTTGTATTGAACAGATGCTATCTGCTTTGAGGTCCAGTGGATGCAGCGGTATGCCGGTAGTCGGGCGTCTAATAGCTCTGGCTCCCGAACGTGTGAGCCGCGACAGCGATGTCCCTGCTCGGTGTTGTTGATGATCGATGATCCAGCACTTACGTAGGAAGTAGCCGTCATCAGAAGGTGTTGCTGCTTACATGCGGGAATAATGCGTTGTCCGCATGGCATATGCGCAACACCGCGTATCCAATGTGTATGACTTCGCATCATCTGGCGGTGCGTTACAGTGGGCTTCTGTTCCCTGGTCGGGGAAGCCATGGTTGGTGTCTTAATTCAGGAAGATTATGGGCCAGATACATTAACTGGTAAAATCGCTGGTGAGTCCACGGGCTCATCTTGATTAGCTTAGGAAATTCTAACTCACAGGATGGCTTCGCGACTATGCATGCAGGAATAGACTCACGAGAAGTATTTTACAGATGCCACGCAGCTTTCCAATCACTAATGGGAGGCACTGACTGTAAGTGGAGCCAGTCAATGTTAATTTTAGCATCGAACAAGTCCTATAGCTATCGTACGCACTTATTCGCATAAGTTGTCCGGTAAGGTGCGTGTTCATTTCACAGGCCAGTAAACCTAAGGGCTGTGTAGCTAGTGCTAGCCACGTGCTCCTCGAGTTTACTATAATTTGTATTAATGTCTTCAATACTCAAAAACTTGCTTGTCTCACAAGAGAACTCACTCTATGCTTAGCATCTTCCCTTGTTTCCTAATCACCACCTTTATGGCAACGCAAACCTACTTAGCATCGAAGACGTCTCTAGAGGCATTGGTCAACCGCTCGGGCTGGAACTCCGGGTGCAAGGGGTGAGTAACTGCAACCCGGACGATGCTGCTATGGCCTACGGAGCAGGCACCATCGCAATTTTCTCGGGCCGCTCATCAGCTGAATGTGGACCCGCGGTACAAACCTCATATGCTATGAGTGACTCGGCCCATCGTCACGGTCGTGGCGTCGATGCCTTGCCGGCGAACTTTAACTCATGCAGCGGCTTTCAACCGTGAGCATCGCGTTTGGTGCGCCCATTGTTCTTCCACACCACCCACGTTGAGTGCATGCACATGGGGTAGTAGAATCAAGGATTATAGAATAGTGAACTTTGTGCTTTCCCGCCAATTGCAACGTGTGCGACTAACTCCAAGCGGCACTTCAAAAACGCCGTTGGCACTAATGCTCCGATCAAAAATCTTATCAATAACTCATCGACTTTCTACTTGAGCTTACCATTAAACGAGTAAATGGCATCATTATCATTGTCATCACCACCCAATGACGTCGGGGCCAGCAGCCCGAACTGCGTACCTGTGTTGCCTTGTGAAACTTTGAAGGTAGAAAGTACTGGGCACCAGCAACAGCATGTAGTACGATGATCTCCTTGTTTTACTTGGTGGCGAGCACTAAGCCTGCACAAGGTGGGCCTCGACGGAATCAACTTGGAATACGACGAGGGGGATACGCTGTTCATCAAGCAACTCATTGACACCGTGTATTCGAACTACCTCGCATCGCAGAATCGAGTCCGCCAGTACACAAACCTCTTGACGATGCTGAAACGTGAGGAGGATGCATGGGCAAAGAGATTTAAGCGTGCGAGTAGCCTAATGCCGGATTACAAACCTCCCATGGAGTGGACAGCATAGGGGTGATCCAAGCCTGAAGGCCGTATGCTTCTGAATCTTTCTGCAACTCCCTCGTCATCTTTCATTTTAGCATCACTATAGTCCTTTGTATTCAACTTTTGTAAACCATTATTCACGATATCACGCTGTCAGCTACGTACTGGATTTGAGAATTGTATCCCTTGCTTGTTGCGTCTCCCCTGAGTACCATCATGCTCATGCCAAATGAGGACACCTGAGCTTCCATTCCTAATAAGGACAAACATACTCTGCAATATCGCCAGCCTGAGGGAGTCGGAAGGCAAAGCTCACATGGTGAAATATTCACCGAACGAAACTGCGTCGCTTGAATGTATTTCCATCCACCTTCGAGTCGCCGCACAAGACCGGCGCATTGTTACAGGTGGCAACCTGTAAAGTTCATAATTTCTTTCCAAAGTGAAAACCATCATGCTCATTGTAATTGTGTCCTTCTGCAGCTCTGGATGCGACCATAACTCTTGTCGGTATTCGTGCATGATGGTGCACAGGCGTACAGATTGTATGCGGATTGCACTGTTGGAGTAAAGTAAGTCCGAGTCGCAGATTTAACCATAAAACCGGTAACTCTCTTCCCTATGCGAGCTAGAGTATCTCGACGTTTCTAGGTATCAGAAATCCAAGAATCTTTCCGGGCTATGATAAGTTCCAACTCCATCCTCCAGGCATACCGGAGGCCATATTGATCATGTGTGTAATTCCATTGGAATTAGTATCAATAATTGCTTGACTGTTTACATCACCTTCAGATCGTTTTGGATGAAAGTCAGAGCACACTGCATTAATCTATATTGATGTTGAGCAGCTTAGGCTGAAATACAGTTGGTCGGGTGTACTGTGCTTTAAAGGTACGCTGAGTAGTTTTGTCAAGTGAGACTGTTAAAGGAGGATGCTAGCTGTTCCTTTCAACGTCTGTGTACACGTCGTTGTGTCCCGTACATCTGAATCAGCGTGCTGATGGTCATCTTAAGTAATCTCTATCGCGTGTGCAAGCTATGAGCTCGAGATAATAATGAACAGGACGCGTGATGCATTCAATGGGCCAGCCTGTGGCAACTGTGCCCCATAGTTGGTTAGTTGTCGATATTCTACCTTTGTGATGCAAATGGGGCGACATCAATGACATTTATTTGACTTTAGACAGACAATCGGAGCATTCACAAGAGCATCCACACTTGTATCATTT